TTTTTTTTTTTTTTTTACCCCCTGCACTCTGGGATATGCATTCCTCACACTCTGCAGTCCTGGACCTCTACACCCTGTGTTAGGTATTTGTTACCCCCCACCCCCACATACTCTGTTGCGTGCCCCTTACACTTTTACCCCAAACACTCTGTTGCGTACTCTTGACACCTAAAGTTTAGGAGTTATGCACTCCTACCTGACACCCCTGTACTCTGCGTTATTACACACTCTCGACCCCCCTGTATTCTGTGTTGCGCACTCTTGACACCCCTGCACTCTGTTATGTACTCCCAACTCCTCTGCACTCTGTTACGTACTTCTGCACCTTGTAATACTCTAATGATTTCCAAGACACATGAAAAGCCGCCAATGTGATAGCAGATTGGTGGTGACATGTACTCTTTAAGGTGATACTGCAGGTCCAAAAAACCCTAGTATCACCTTCCCACTCTAAATAAGATATTGAAGTGCAGATCGCACTTCAATAGCTTATTGCTGGGCTTCAGGAGCAAAGTAATGTAATGAGCATCGTTCCGGTCCCATAGAATGGGAAAGAGATCAGTGAAAGGGAGTCTGCTGCTCTCCTCCCCAGCTTCCCGCCAACACCCGACATCCCAGCAGGAGCAGCGAGCACTGGGAAACACGGTGGGGCAATTTACTGGCCCGTAGAAGTGATCTAGCGACAGCTGAGTCGCCAGAATTGCTTCTATTGTAAAGCTGACAGCCGGCCTTACAAAGGTAAACAGAGTTCCGGGAGCTAAGTCTGTTTAAACGGGCCCGCTGCCAGTATGTCACTGGTTGCGGAGGGGTTAATCAGTAGAAACTTGGGTCCTTGGGTCCTATGAACCCCTTCAACACAGCACAAATTTGGCACTACATAATGCAAAATTTAAGGCAATTTTACCAGTGTTTTTTTGTGATAAAAATGTTTGCTGGTTTGGTTTACCAATAACGTTAGAGAACAATCCCAAGCTTTTTGAACACAAATATCAAATGGTGTTGGGCTGCCTTAATTTATGTGATATAGAGTCTTTTTTCCATTTTTGTTACAGCATAACCTGAAATCTTACCCTGCAATCATCCAGTGTGACCTCTGGCTGATACTGGCCTCCTGCCTCAAATATCTGTCCGTTCCAAGCCTTGAAGCGCAAGGGTTTCTGGGAGACTTTGTCAGAGGATATTCCCCACACAGGAACATTGAGGCAGTGGAGAGTTATGTGCTGTACTGCTTCTGAACTCAGGAGGTGAAGAAAATTCATCTGAACTCGACCAATGTCAAAAACCAACTGTAGAGAGACATAACAGTGTGTTGTTCAAATATGGTAACAGTTGTAAGTACATATATAAAGTGGCCGATGGCATTGCATTGTTTTACATTTTGGCATTTCCTGCCAAGGATATGGTTCACCTGAGACAGCTAGTTGTGCTCTGGGTAACCAGTCTCCTTTCTGTTCCACCCAGCTCTGCAGCGCACAACATTGTCATGTGAGGTGCCCTACAGTCCCTACTCCATGTCCCTATTGGAAGTCGAAGATCGGGGCACTGGCAGATTAAGTCACCCAGACTTCAGAGAGAGTATTTTTACAGACAAAGCAGATGCAAGTCAAAATTAGTCCTTCCACTCCTGCAGCCTCTATTGGCTGCAGGAGTGGAAGGACTAATTTTGACTTGGTTAGAGATGGACTTTTTAAAGCTTACTTATTTGAAAACTGAAGGCAATGCCAAGGATGATTTTAAGAGCAAATACATAATTGAACATATTTATTTATTTATTACAGGTATTTATATAGCGCCGACAATTTACGCAGCACTTTACATAGTTGCACATTCACATCAGTCCCTACCCTCAAGGAGCTTACAATCTAAGGTCCCTATCTCACATGCATACATAGAGGGCAAACTTAGAGAGTAGCCAACTAACCTACCAGCATGTCTTTGGAGTGTGGGAGGAAACCAGAGTACCCGGAGGAAAGCCATGCAGGCACAGAAAGAACATGCAAACTCCTTGCAGATAGTGACCTAGCCGGGATTCAAACTGGGGACCCCCAGTGCTGCAAGGCAGAAGCGCTAAGCACTACGCCACTGTGTTGCCCCAACATATTAATCTTTTGGGCTAATTGGTTACTGTGCATCATCATTCCTTTTAAAACTGCCTAATTCATTCTGACATTAGTGAAGTCAGATCAGTTGAGAGATCATTTTGGTTGCTATGAGTTGATGTAAGAAACTGTGATGGCACCAAAAATGCACCAACTCTTGTAGTCCCATGTTTAAGACATTAAAAAAGTTTATTTTATTGTTCTAATATGATTTTATTATTTCATAATTTTCATGAGTGAACCTGTTCTTTGCCTTACTTGAAGAAAACATAGATGCTGTTTTTATATTGGCCTTTGCTGCCCTGTCACTTCATATAGCCGCAAGGGAGAAAAATAAATACTCAATAGTTCCAGGTATGAAACTCCCCTTCCTCCCATGATGCAGTACTGGGCACTTCAGTGTTCAATGCCCAAAAGCTGCCATGGGGAGAGTCCTTAGCCCCTCTGTAAGCTCTGATCAAATAACCAGCAGGAGCAAGGAGGAAAAAAACAAAAATATTTTAGTATAAGAAAAAAACTTTTTGCATTTTGCCATTAGCTGGCTAATCATATATGGGGAAAAGAAAATTTTTGTTTTTCAATGTTGTCTTGGTTTCATATGTCTAACATTTACATTGTGCTAAGGTTACTGACTAAAAGTTAAAAGTTACAATATATTTAGTCCATATATTTATATTCAGCTCTATCTGATATGTTAAAAACTGCTAATGGATGGTTACAGATGCAAGTAGACACACTAAAGTATAAAAAGATGTCTAGGAGATTTCCAAACAGCTTAAAGTGTCTTACCTTGGATGTAGTTAGAGATCTCAGACATGTCTGACCACCTTGTGTGAAGTTACAGGTGACCTCAATTGTGTCAGAGGAACAGCCAACATTAGGGTCAATCCAGTAAGTGCCTGTTGAGAATGTCCAAAGTTACACAATGTGTCCAACCCACATCATTATGCACCAAATGGAAAACATCTCCTTACCATCTCCCATTTTTTGTTGGCAATTCATCAGATCACGGCAAACACGGGCAGGATTGTCTCTTGTGCCCAGCGGGTTCTTTATACTTTGAATGAGGCTACTGAGGTAGTGTAGGGTCTTGAACATCTCTCCTCCATGGTCCACCAGGATGAACTCAGTACTCCGATAGGACTGAAATAAATATTTTAATAAAGAACTATTAATCTCCTCAAGCTGCACAAATGACTTCCAGTGTAAAGCTGGCAATCAGCTTGCACACACGTAAGCAGACTCCTGGCTGGCAGCAGTGGGGCCCATGTAAGCTGCTATAGCAATGTATGGCATATGCTGGTGGCAGTGAAAGTTGTGGTGAAGAGGTGTGGCTATTACTAAAACGTGTGAAAAAATTAAATTTTTCACAATTTCACATCTCTTTTATTCACTTCACGTATTACTATATATTGCGTATTATTAATATATCACAAGACTTGAAATGCATAATTGTGATATAACGTCAAATGCTTATAATAACAAATCTTTTAAGTCAACAACTGTGCATTTAGGTTTAACTCCAAGTCAGTAACAGCTTGAGCTATTGTAAGGCAGATGAGGTGGAAATAAGTGATAAACTCAAGTTGCCACAGTTGCCATTTTATATTCATATTTTTATTATTTGTCTTGTATTTGTCTTGAATTTGTATATCTTTAAGTATATTTAATTTAAACAATGTGCATTTTTAATATTTTTTTTGTTTTAAAAATTCAAGACACAAATATGTTATTACATTTATAATTTTATTTAAAAAAATATATACAAGGATATTTTTGAGCTCAGAGCAAAGGATTTTACGGTGAGTTCATTGAGGGACACAGCTGTATCTTCATTATACGCGGCCATCCGTCAAAGCAGTGAGAACTGAGTGGTGGGAAACCCCAAACAGAACAAGAAAAGAGGCACCCACAAAACCAATGGCCGTCAGCGAAAGCCTTTCTGGACAAAACCCTGCCTAACAAACCTGCAAAACGGAGCCCAAAGATGAGAAACTCCCACGACTGTAACCACATCCAGGCAAGGAAGGCCGTGTTGGCCGTGTTAGGGGATGCGCCCGAGAGGTGGAAGAAGACACCACCTAGGCAAAACGGAGGGTTGCTGTCGGAGAACTACCTCGAACTTATGCAAGGCAAAACAGAGGCAGACAATGCAAACACCTCCAGATCAAGGCGATGGCCACCTAAAAGGTCAACGCTGGAGATAAGATAAAAAGTAAAATTAACGCTCAAAAGGAGAGTGCTGCAAAAATGGTACGAACCAAGGAAAGTGAGCCAATGGACGCTGAAAACTAGCACTAATCTCACACATCTTGGGCATAGACCCAGGAGATGTGAGATAGTACAGGATAGTACAGTGTCCGGCAATCCCCTATCCCGCGCCAGCTGGCTAGTGACAACCACACCGTAAAGGCCAGGGACAGCAAGGGAAGGATAAAAATTCTGCCTCGCGACAGTAGATCTGGCAGTAGAGGGAGCCGCCAAGGAGCATCTGCAAGTAGGCGCGAAGAAGCTTTAGGGGAGGAAACATATAAATGAGTCCATACAAACATATAAATGAGTCCAGCATTGGAGAGCGTAGCCCCCACACCAGAGAAGCCTAGGTAGAACGTGCTACCCACAACGGCCTGTCCGAAGACAATGATATCGCCGTGAGAAGCGATTGCCCGCTGCAGAATCCGAAAGAGGAGATGAGCATACACCAACAAAGAAATCAGACAGAATCCACATGCAATCGCATATATGGACGCCCGGTTGCACAAACCCAATAGGCAGACAAGGGCTCAAAGGCAAAAACACCCTGGCATGACTTGAGACCAGGAGTAGGCCCGGGGACTCCATAGAGGGGAGGACACCAGAAAGATTCCTGGATGACCAAGACCCAGCCAAACCCCTCTAGGGTGCTCATGGTATTGACCGGTATTATACCGAATTGGCAGCCAGGTAGGATGAGACCCTACTCGGAAAAGGAGGAAAGGAGGTCGGTCCGACAAGCCTGATCGAGATCCTCTGTTGCCACAGTAAGACCAACAGTCCGAAATGCAAGCCAACCACAGATCTGCAAACAAGCAAAGACATCTCCCCCACCCTGAGGCAATCAGGTGGGGGCAAATTTTCAAGCGGACCAGCGAAGGAGGGTTTAGCAGGTACCTGGCCTTTACCTGTTGCGCCTTGGAGACAAGATGCACATGAGCGGATAAGGAAGGACCCTGCTTACACCAAGGCTCCCCAACCCTACTAGGCCAAGTCAAGAGGTACTCCCGCCCCCAGCAGATGAGCAACATCATCATTTATTGTTGTTACATAATCATCCATTGTTGTTTCAAACAAGTGGTTGCGACATCAAACAAGGGCAACATCGCTCTTTGGGAATCTGGCCAGCAGGCCAGAGCCAGAAAAAGGCAAAGAACACCGCAGACATATAATGTAGACAACAGGGAGACACTGTGGCAAACCAGCCCAGTGGCCAGTCGAATATGCGTCCCCCATGAGGAACACTCACAGGCTGTCCCAGATAAGGGGCTGTCGCAGCCGAACCTGCACATAGCTAAGGATCTGCATGCGCTCATAGGCCAGGCTGGGGAGACTACAAGGATCTATATTATCCAGCCTGTCGCCCAGCTCGGCTGTTGATTGAAGATTCAATGATAGGAAGCTAAATCCTTACTCCTTGATGAGAGGCAAAAAACTGAACTACCTCAGGTTGAGCCAAAGCAGGGCTTAGCTTTTTTTTTTTTTTTCTGATTAGTGTCCTACACCTGCAAGTGTCCTACAACTCTTCTGTAGAATGAAGATTAAGCTGTATACTTCAATGAAGGGAAGATAAATTAGTATTTATTTTTTTATGTGGCATTGTGATATCGGTGTTTGATGATACTTGTGACCACAATAAATTAAGTAAAATATTCCAAGTAATCACAATGAATCAAGCCAAAATATTTCAAGAAAACATGCAAGTCTGAGGACATCTGAGATCACAAAAAGTCACCAGGAACTCACCAACATCTGACAGGCAAAAAACTGAATGATTTAACCTGATTTATTTAGGCATAAACATAATAGCTTATTCAGCATTTTTCTGGTCTCTGTTCTCTATACTGCAGTATATGATAATATATAGATTTGGCCTAACCAACTAACAAGTAACTGAATATCTGAATTCCTAAAAATCCACAATGCAGCATAAGCATAATAATGGCAATTAGAAAAAATGCACACCGGTCCATTGGAGTCCATAAGGGCTTGGTAATTTTCACTAATGTCTTCTGTCCTCTGAAAAAGAAAAACACAGGTTGAAAAATAAGGTTCATTTGAAGTTTCTTCCACAATGCATAGAGAAGGTAGTCATACATTCCTAAACCAAAGTAAATCATAAAATGCAATATTGGGTGTATTACTAAAAATATCCAGGGTGCAAAGCTAACATATCTGGGAGTTGCTGTACTTCACTGTTGCCCTTTTAGTACTACACCCAATCAGAAGTATATAGTCTGCAGCAGAACCTAATGTGTCATTTGACAGGGTGCTTTGTAGATTTCCCAGAATTCTTCATTCTTTAATGAAGAGTGAATACACTCATCCCTACAATTAGAGCCTTTATAGATCAAGAACTGAGTCACCACATACCGCTGATCAATTGCTCAGTTCCCTGACTGTCTCCACAGGGATCCCCCCCCCCTCCCCCCGCAATCTGCCTCCAGTGCTGACTGGAGTGATGGACTGGGGAGGGGGTGGGCACAGCTGATTTTGGCTCTAGAGAGGGAGGCGGAGCCAGCTGTCTATTGTAAGGATCCACCTGATTTTGTCAAGATCTCTCCCGGCCGCAATGTAGCTCTGCACTGTCAGTTGAGTTTTTTGAAGGAGGAGGACATTTACTATGGCCAAAAAAGGTTGAGCCATAGTTCTCTTTTAACAGCAGCTTTCTCCACTACAATACCAAAAAGATCAAGCTATGAGTGGGAACAGACTGGCTAAGCAGACCCCCCAAACTCTCCCCTCCTAAGCAGCATAGAATGATGTATCAGTTGGCAAGGGCCTCAGCATAGTTGTTCACTTCAATGCCACTCTATGGGTTACTGACTTTGCACCTAGGTAATGTTACAGGTACAAACAATGTAAACCACATAAAATCACTTTTGTAGACACCTTGTGGCTAGATTATAACCTCAGTGGCTCAAAAATCTATGTAAACCCCTGAAGTAATTGCCTAATAGTTGTCTACAGGGCCCACTTACATGAGATCACTGCTCGCCTGACATCTATGGCCAGAACCAGCTCTAGACATATCCAGAGGTGGGACACAGTAAGGCCTCCTTCACACGAGAAAAGGCCGGCACGTACAGCTCCGTGCACGGCCGTATCGGGCAGCTCCCGGGAAGGACAGGAGCTGCATGTGATTAGTACACAGCCCCTGTCCTTCTCTATGGGAGTATGCGACCGTACGCCGCCCTACGCTCACACGCCTTGCACGTCCGTACCTGTACGCTGACAGGATGGATCCTGTCTGCGTCCAAGCCGGGACACCTGCACCCGTACGGCCTGCACTTGGGGTGAGCGTAGTGTGGCGTATGGCAGCGTACTCCCATAGGGAAGGACAGGGGCTGCGTACTAATCACACGCAGCACATGTCCTTCCCCGGAGCTGCCCGATACGGCCGTGCACGGAGCTGTACGTGCCGGCCTTTTCTCGTGTGAATGAGGCCTAACGTTAAAGGCTTTGCAAACCTTGTGTTTTAATGCACCTGGAATGAACTGTCCTTTATGTTAGTTTAAAAAAAATGAAAGTAGAAGCCAGAGACTAAATCAAAAAGCCTGCCCCCTGCCAGCATGCTCCAAAGAAGGCCTTTGCCCTCTGTTTAAAAGCAAAGGTATCCCAGCAGAGATAGCACACTACCATACATGCACATTCACCGGCATATTGATCTATGCAATGAGGAGCATGGAAGTATCACTACACTGCCCATGTAGGAACAGATTGCTTGCATCACAGCTTGAGGGGACCCATGCAAGCATAAGCCGTCCGACACCAGCAAACACCGTGTGCTGGACACCTTTTTTATTCTATACTCAGTACTTCACAGTCATTATTATATACCTAATTCCCTGACTTCGAGATGAATGTAAAGCTCCTGGCCGGCCGTTTAATTACAACAGCTGGCCGGGAAGCTGCTCGTCGGGCTCCGACCACCCTCCTCACCACCATACCAATCCCACCCTCACCACAGCAGATCCCCATCCTAACCTCTACACCAACCCACACACTCAATACTGCATCTAGCCCCCTTCTGGACTTTCTTACCACCTCACTTACACACCAATCATGCCTAGCCCTTCCTCCATCCTCTCACCACCTCTTGATTATTCCCACTTCACTCGCCACTGCACCAAAGCTATGACGCACCTTTCCATAAACCACCTGTTCAACAAATGGGCACTCTTTTGCTAGAATGTAATTGTTGTAGTTGCAATAAAAAAAATAATATCTGGCCAAACTACAATGCAGATGACTTACAAATGATTCCAGAAACACTGGTGGTCCCTAAAAAAGGAAAACAGGAAAAAATTATTAATAAGATGAAGGAGAGTTCATTGAGCAGTTTCTAAAACAAGGGCCACACTGGCCACCTTCAGATAGTCACGCGAAAACAGGTGCAGGCACTAATGAAGACATGTATCTAATGCTAGCAAAGTCTACAGTTAAGCCAATGACTATTCATTTAATAAACCATGAAAGTGAAAGTAAATTGGTGGTTGGCAGAATTTGGGGCAAAACAATCAGTGATAAGCATTTTAGAAACTTACTGACATTTTAAAGTGTGAGTATATGGTCATAAAGGGGATGAAAGTGAAATTGCTGTATTAATGCCGGTGACAAACTGCATCAAACATTTACTTATTTAATTAATTTTTTAATCCCTTCTGTAAAAATAGTTAGATCTACATGCAGAAGCACCAGGACTCCTTGTAATAACATGACAATGCTGTTTGTTTTGCAGTAAAACTGCACAGCAGCATGATTACCCTGCGGACAGGGTACTCTTAAGGTGCCCACACACCTTACAATTTATCTGCAGATTTTCTGTGGTCAGATGGAAAAAGTGCAACAGATTGGCCCAGGTGGAGATTACTCCATCCACACAGTTAAGTGTAGATGAAGGAATCTGTTGCACCTTTTCCATCTGACAACAGAAAATCTGCAGATAAATTGTAAGGTGTGTGGGCAGCTTTAGATGGATATGTATTTTTTCCGCTTGTTATATGGTCTGGTAGTTGTTTTTACTGGTTATGTGGTTTGTCCTATTTTCTAACCAGCACCCGTCAGCTTGGTCTATTACAGAAAGTTTTATTACCTGTTGATCTGGCTAGTAGATGTTATTTTCCAACTATGTTACAGCTGTTCTGACTATGTTAACGTTAATGCTATCAACAAACTGGGCCATTTGTCATTTTTGCCCCTAGTTCTACTTTAAGAGCACTGAAATGCAGTCCTCTACAATGCATCCCTTTTCAGCTTTCATCAGGTCAGTCAGTACATCTTTTTTAAAAGAGTTAGTTTGGTCATGGGACAATAATGTACAGAGTCTCACAGACTGTGTATTATATTTTTGGAAGTGTTCCGTGAACAGTAAATTGCTGTTCAGAATTTCTTAATGTGTTTTCTCATGCTATTTTATCTGGGTAGATGTGTTTGACACAAAACTCGGACAGTACGGGGATGGGCAGAACATCTGATTGGATAATGCCACATCTATACTTGTTTAAGATCAATAAGCTTCTGGAGTCTATGCACACATTTAGGCTTGGAAGAGCCTTGTTGAGTATAGTTTATGTAAACCCAAACACTGAACTTCTCTTATTTACTCACTTTTGCCCTTATAGCATAGTTATTTCAATGGTGCATTTAAAGTAGAACTTCAGGCAAATAGAAACGTAACCCTTGCAGTGTGGGGGACTGCCCTGCAATGCAAGGGTGCTTGTTTTGTGTAGGGAGCTAAAATAACAGAGTCATATTCACCCAGATCGCAATCCCGGCTGGCTCCTACACCACTCTCTCCAGCCTGCTCCAGTAATTGTATATCCCCCTCAGTGTCCTCACATTCTAGACACTGTCTAGAATGTGACGACTCACAGGACCTTAGACCAGTCCCTTAAGCCTTGCTCCCCTTTTGCTCCAGCAGTCTAAGAGCAAGCCAGGATCGTGTGTTGGGTGATTATAACTCTGCTCATTTTGTCTAGGGAGCTAAAATAACACTTAACCCTTGCAGTGGAGCTACCCCCACTCTGCAAAGGCCAATATTTTACTTGCCAGGAGTTCTGCTTCAAATCTGTTCAATAAGTGCAAAAAATAGCTGTTAATGCTATCAGAAATCTGGTGAGCTTCACTGTTAACAACCACAGTGTTCCAATGCTCTCTGTAGACTACAGAACATCTCCCCACTTTACTATGGAGATGGAGAGGTGTTCTGTAGTCCTAAGACACATTGCTAACCTAGAGTGACAACACTGTTCCTCCATGAATGGTGAGTAAGCGTGATCACACTAGGACATGAAGTCTGTTACAGGCAAGATCCTCAGGTGAAAATGAAGAGAAAAAACGGAAAACTAATGCAGCCAAGGACTGGTAATCTACATCTAACCCAAGGAAAAACTTTTATGTGTTGTAATTAGGCGAACAAATCTGAATGCCAGTGAATCAACTTGAAGCAAGACTTTTTTATTGCAATAATACAAAATATGCCTTCATAGAATCCATTAATCTCTTATACTTACAGGTGGTCCAGGCTTGCCGCGAGGACCAGTAGGGCCCTACAAAAAATATATATTGTTGAAATAACATCTAAAATACTCAAAGTCACATGTAATAGTTTCATCAGAAAAATGATGAAAGAAATGTGTTGATCCTTTACTTACCCTAGGACCAGGTAGTCCCTGAAAAAGAAAAAAAATATGTATCAAACGACTTAAGTATGTGACATTTTAGTCTGCCATTGTTGTGATCCACATACCTCTACAGGTCAGAGCATTCTACTGCTTCCAGGGTCAGCTGTTAGCTCATTGGACAGAGGTAATGGTGCTGACTCACCATCCAATAAAGAGACCCGAGGTAGAGAGGCAACACAGGAAGCAGAATTGCTGATGCAGGAATCCATATAGGGGCCTATATTCCCCAGGCTAAATTTAGCAGCATGTGTTGGTTAACTTAACCATAACTCTAGCTAAATGGCACACCTAAAAATATTTATTCAGTTTGGGGACATATCAACTTTCATTTAGTATACTGTTTTATTAAAACCTTTTTGTGTGCATTTGTCAGCCTTTATTAAAAGTAGAGCAGGGTGGGTTTTTTTTTTACACATTTTCTATTCTTTAAATAGTCATCACAGTATATAACCTGTATGGTCATCCTGCCTTGTTGGGTCTCAAACCGAAGTACATAGAAGCCATGGTTTCCATACACTGCACTGATGATGCTCCGAAAGCCTGAAGCAGCTATGTCCAGTTTGGACTAAGCTGCTTCAGGCTTTCTAATATAAGCCACATAGTCCAAACTAGACATAACTGCTTCAGGTTTTCTAATATGAGCCACAATGTCCAGTTTGGACTATGTGGCTCATATTAGGCTATATTTATACACCAGCGGTTCTGGATGTGCATCTGGCTGATGGGGCATAAAGTCATAGCCCATTCCTGGGAGGGAAAATGGTAGAAAGACTGGAGGAGCGTTTAAACTAGAAAGTGGGGGGGAGGGTATAAAAATAAAATTACTTAAACTAAACGTTGATAATTTAATCATAGATAAAAATAACACAGAAAGTAGTAAAACTTCATTGTCCTAACATGATGAATAATTACCTTATTTTGGGGATATGTAATGAATTAGACATGTGAATACCCTCTGTTTTTAAGAAGACTTTAACTGTCAGATAAGTTTACTGTGCTTATCACTCTTTAATAATGCAACTCTATTACATAGATAACACTGCAGCAATTTTTATTAAAGAAGTCTCCAGCCTGCATATGATCACTAATGCCACAGCCAACTTAGTGACCACATAATCGGAAACCACTCTAGGGAGCTCGGGTGCCAGTGACATTCAGAATAGCAGGTCGGCAGCAACTCAAAGAGTTGGCATTGTGCTGAGTAACATTATTACAGATTGTGGGCAGGAAGGAGTTAACTGGAAACTACATTCTGGCTCCACAGAGTTTCCAATCCTTTGGCAGATAAAGCAGTAAACATGTAAGTGTGTATTTAAAGTAGCACAAAATAGTGTGGCTGCCGATGCTAAGGTGAACCAAATGGCGTCATGCAGCATTTTCAAGGTTTACCTACCATGTCGCCTTGTGTTCCCCTGTCTCCAATGGGCCCCTGTAAAAAAGACAATACGAAGAATGAGTGGTTTGTGATGGGGTAGAAATGTGTGAAAGATTCAGGTGTTATAGTCATCAGTGCTCAGACTGCTGTGCTTGTCTGCCAGCTTTTGGTGATAATGTGCTGGGGGATTCCTTATGCTGACAGATGGAACAGAAAGGTGTGTACATCACGGACAGGGAGTTCACACTACTGACAATGTGAGAGGAAACCAGATTGTCAAGTTCCATTTTATGGGATTTCCTTCTTAGTCTGGGTAGGTATATTCCAGCTGAAAGCAGACAGACTGTACTCAACACAAATGATAGATTGAAAAAAAGATTAGGCGCAAAGCAAAAAATAACACAAGCCAATTCTATAGTACACTCTGGATATTTTTACCCTTTCACATTTTGTAGGCACACAGTGCTATTGTGGTCAGTTTTTTATCTTTATCTACATAAATCATATCTTATAACACTAGGCACATGCTCTGCACTGGTGGAGGGTCAAAGCAGAAATAAAACAAAGCTCAAAGTACTACATTTGCCAAATTCAACAGCTTCACTGCTCACTGAAATGTTGACCTAAAACAACTATGCAGTCAGTGAATGTGCAATTCCCCAGCAGCATACTTGTTGTACATCAGTGACTTGCAAAGCAGTGAAGGATGCCCCAAATCAAATGTACTGGATGAACTGCTCATAGATCCGTTCTGCTCTGCACATAGGTCCTTGGCTGTAGGATGGCTTGCTTATAAGGTATCTCAGGACATTTACAGCCTTCAAAATATGCCTGACACTTGGAAAGTCACATAACCCATTCACAGGTAGCAGGACAGCCAACAAAGCCAAGTACAGAAGCTATTGTCATATATGTTATGCTACCCACAGACATTAGTTGATTGTCACCCAATCTGAACAATAAAATTTGGATCAGAAAACAATCTTATGTCTTTTACTTATACACCCTCCCGGTTGATTAGAAGAAAAAATGATCATACAGAATGCATTTTCCCGAACAACCATTCATGTTTCCCCAACGCTAGGAGTGTCTGAAAGTGAACCTATGCAAGACAAAGCAACGGGTTTCAAAGTTGGCAGACAACATGTGGTCGCATTGCTCAAGCACATTGTATGATTTATGTAGGCTTTTTAGATTCTAAGTGTTAATGGTGTACATAAGGTGTATGTCAGGGCAAAATAATCTCCCCAGTGTAATCCATCCAGTGTAATCCTAACTTACTGTAATCCCAACCAGTGTTTTCAGCACTGCCTGCTTGACTAAAAAAATCTGCCTATCTCCTAGCCCTCTCTGTCTCTCTCCACATGCATACATTAATTATTTTCCTAGCAAAAAAGTTCTAGTGCATTGGATACCAAAAGCCTGTCCACACACACTGTGTAGGTAAAGGGCTCTTGGAAGATGTAGTTCCGGAGGTGTGCTTACATCAATAGGAACTGTAATTCTTCAAAATACACTTTGAAGCATAAGTGCACTTTAAAACAAAGTACTCATTCTTTTTGTCCCCTTACCTAATCTAGACTAGTCCAACTACCCCTTCCCAGAAGCATACTTACCTTAATCAAACAGTGGCTGTGTCCCAAGGATGGAGATGTATGGGAGATGACCCCATAGAAGTCTATGGGGAGCTACTGTGCATGCAAGGCCAGTATACCGAGGACAATATTGCTCAGGATGTAAATGAACATCAGAGGCCTCAGCTGTAGGATCCAGGTAAGTGGGGAAGTTGAGGTCATCGAAGGAGGCCAAAAAGGATACAGAAAAAGCACTTCAATTTAAAATGCACTTTATCCCTTAAGATTCTCCATGAACCACCTGCACACTGCTATACACTCTTACACACTTACACACTTGTATTGCAATACATGTTAAAGATGACCAACTATCACCGCGAACTTGCCCCTGAAGCTGTTTATACTTCCCTTCCGTCACTCGCGGAACTACCAGGGTCGCAATTTCGACCAGGACCTGGCATTCCGCCAGTTGGGGGGGCCAGAGAGAAAGAAGAGGGCCCGCAGATCCCTCATACCGCCTGCAGCGTTCATGAAACTAAGACGTTGGCGTGGGCGGTTGCTTAGAGACCAACTTGGTGGCATGTGTGCGCCGATTTATGGGAGCCGAATTGCAATCATGTCAGGCCAGTGAGAAGCCTTGGGCAGGATGAACGGCGCTGTGCAGAGAAGATGGACGCTGGAGAGGTAAACTGTCCTGTTACCAGGACAACCAGCGGCGCTTCTTCTAGCTCTTGACAACGTGGCGCCTCTTCTAGCTCACCTCTCATTCTCCCGGTACAGAGAACTGCTCTGTACTTCCTGATCTTCTGCCTTTTCTCCATCTACTATGCGAGTCCTGTTATGACTATTACTTCAACATTGCATCTTTTTTCTTCTTTACTGTCTGTGCATGACCCCCCCACTGATATTTCCCCCCCACACAAACTACACTTGTATACTACTCCCCATACCCCCATATTAACTACCATGGGAAAGAGCTGCGGAGCATCTGCCTGCTGGGAGCTGTAGTCCCTGGAGGCAATGTCGGCACCTTGGCAGTTAACGGGCCCCCCTAAGTGGTGGAATGCCAGGGCCAAGTTGCAAAAGTGACTCTGGTATATCCACCACTTGGGGGGGCGGACAGGAGGAAGAGGGCCCTGTTACCACTTCAGCTTCCAGCATGCAGCAGGCCAATTCGGGGCCCTGAAGTTTCTAGTTACACCTCTGTTTAAGAAGGCATGTGTAAGTCAGTCCTAACTAGAGCTTGTACAAGGCCTCTTCCCACCCTGAGCAACCAACTGCCAAGCACGAGCACTGCCAGATGGAAGGAATGCGAGTGAGACACATGCTCCCATATTCCTGTCACTTCACTCTTGCCAGTGAACGCAGAGGTGCGGGAGGAAAGGGAAGATAACTATAAACTGATGCAGAGACAAATTAAAGCTTGAACTTGAAAAAACTGAAAGTGGTAAAAGTGGGCAAAGAATAGGTTCACTTTAAATTTTAAGAACTAAAACTCAAACTTACTGGGTTTCCTGTGGGTCCTACAATCCCCATTGGTCCTATGACTCCCTCATTACCCTTAGGTAAAGGGAAACAAAATCAGAATTAGTATAACAGTAAGAAGAAACTATGGAATATACACCGTTTGTAAATTCAAAGAATGCTATTAAATACCTATCGTGTGTTCATATCTGTAAGTTCTGTGAATTTGTAGGAGATACAATCGCACTTATACCAGCAGAAAACTAGATTGCTCGAGAAAATGTAAGTGCAGTCTAGCTAGCGCAGACAAACACAGACTCGCTGCGGGTTGTTTGTTATTGTATGCACACGGCATTGTTAGCAAACAGCTGCCAATCATCAATTAGCTACAGGTAAATTCCACAGTGTTGTCAAAACGTGGCACTTATTTAAAGGCTTTTCAATGTTCTTTTTTAGATATGAATGTAATAGAAATCTACTTTTTTATGTATAACATGCAGCGATTAGATCATTCACATTAAGTAAAGTTTTCAAAACAATAATGAGTAATTAGATACGTATGAGGTTGCAGCCATATTTGCTCATTACATACATGTCAATTGTTCTTTACTGCTTCTTCTCACAATGCAAGTGTAAAAGTTGGCAAAGTCCTTGGAAACAATGTGCTACCCCAACAGTGAGATCCCCCTGCCATAACTCTTTTCTCTCTATCTGGGAGTTCTGGTTGTTCCTGACTGCCTTTGTGTGCTCCAGCTCCTTCTGTTATTGATTTTATTTTCCATAAAATAAATAAGGAGTGTGAGTGGAAATCCCTCATATTGCTCACAGCAGGGGTGCAGACCTGGGAACCCAGCACCCAGAGAACTCACCAATAGTTCAGCATCTACCAAAAACTGAAATATAACATTTTGGGAGGAGTTACCCCTTTTTTCCAGTGTTAATGAAAAACAAACATGTAAAATATGACTGAGGATGTATAACAGGCACCCTAAGTTGTTTGTTTTTTCCATAACCATTCCTCCGCCCAAATAAAAACCTCAGAACATCCTATGGAAAAAGAAAATTCTGAAAACTAAATAGGGCTAGACTTGCATCCCCCCCACAATGCAGTGCTCAGTCACACAACTTGAGCAAGCATTAGAGCCCACCACCATCTTCGCCTTTCTCAGCCAGCGGCCTTATGCATGTATAGGTGTCCTCTATGAGTATATTTTTCTAGGGCAGCTTGTAATTTTGAATGAAAACACCATGATCAGCAATTAACTAGATTTGATATATCCTTAATTGTTAAGTTTGGTGCCAGACTGGCTGATCTGATTGCTGGAAATGACTCACCATCAAGCCAGGAGGTCCTTTCGGTCCCTGAATGCCCTTATATCCAATGTCACCCGGAGGTCCCTGTAGGAATTATAAAAGTGCAAATTAATTGGGTTATGGTTCCCAATCTTTGTACAAGTGGGCAGTAGAGGAGTTTGTGGGCACTGCATACTAAGCCACCAGTCCAAACCCACAATTACCTGCAGGCAAAGCTGCCACCCACCCACCCGAACAACCACAAAGTCCTGCCATTTGGAAGCTTTCTTGTTTTTGTCATCAGAAGGAATCTAAAATTTTAGAATATTTTCAGCCCTAGGCACCTCCACATAACGTTACTGACAATAAGTGCACAGAGATGTTGTTGCCAGTTGCCACAGCTTGAAGAAAGTTGCCAGACAACACAGAATGGGTACCTTTGGTCCAAACAGGCCAGCTATGCCAGGGAATCCAGTCTCTCCAGGGTCCCCCTGAAAAGCACAATTAGGACTGAATATAGGTGGCTTGAAATAAAGGACACTCATAATAAAACAAAAAAACAAAAAACACATAAAACAACCAAGGAACCCTCCAGACACACAAAGACCAGCTCTGTAGTTTAATCTTGTAAGCACTTGAGCAGATTACACATTATGCTGAAAATGTTGATAGTGTCGTCATGGAACATGAGCATCAGTGAATAGACAATGTGATTCTATGTCAGAAAATGAAATGTGTGCTAAAGTTGACCAGATAACAGAACACCTACATTTCAATTCAATAAATGCACAAATAAATCAGAAAATTTAAGTTTGATTTCAACATGGTGGTTTATATCACACAGTTGGTACATACCACTGTGCTATTACACTTTATGAACTTATCAAGTGCTGATCTATATTCATTCTACACTCGTTACTTTTCTATAAAAAAAACCCAAAAAAACCTGGAGTTTTAAATTTTTAAAGCTTATCTCGGGGCTAAATAATAATTAAAAAAAAAAAGTCCCATCAAAGGTGTAATCAAAAGCAGATTAGGGTTGCAAAACTCATCTTCAACACAGTGCTATCCCTGCAGTACTCTGTTCTTGCCACAGGATGCCCTCAGTCTTCTGGGCTTCATGACCAGCATTAAACTAGAAGGCTGAGGGCAGTCATAGGCCCGTCCCTAAGGGGGTTGGGGGTCATCACAGTGCCCTACACCCACTGTGTAATGGTGCAGAGAGTGCCACTGACATCATCAAGTCAGTGGTGATCTCTGCATCTTTAAGAGCCAAGCACTGCCAGATTAAGACCGAAGAGAACCCAGGGGGGATTACGTGATCAGCCTGAAGACATTGTAAGTATAAAAACAAAATAGCATAAAATACTGCTGGGGGGACCTTTAGGGAGGTGAGAAGAGCTCTAGGAGGCAAAGGATGTGAACCTAAAGCCCTACTCTAACACCGACAATTAAAGCTGCTACAAAAGCTGTTCATAAATTTAATAAAAACAATGCAACTAACTATATTTGTCTGGAAATGTCAAATATTCAGGGTCCATTCACAATGGTTCATTGTGTTGTTGTGCATTCAGCAAAGTGATGCATTCAACATTCAAAAAACATTGTTGTGTAAAGCTAACTCAGAGGGAATGCTATTTCTTAAAGTAAACCTGTCTTGAGAAAAATGTAAGGTCTACTACTATTTGTGACCTCTATTTAAAAAAATGCCACTTGGTCTGACCCTTTGGCTTCACTTGCTTCTAAATCACCATACTGGAATATTATATGCATGGGCCACTGACTCAACATGGTAAAGACATGGTAAAGTGAGGGGATCAGCATAACAACCTGGCAACCAAAATTTTCAGAAGGAAAGGTCAGCAGTTGCAACCTCCATGGTTCTGCCATAGCAGGGTTTCCTGGCAGAAGATTTGAATTTGCCGCCTCAAGCTCTTTAACATGACCCACTCTATGAGGCACAGAATGATCCTTTACTTCTTACACTTCTGATTTAAATCATCTGACAGGTAAACTATTTGTATAAGTTCACTGATAGAAGTTAAATCATCTGGCACTACAAAATTACTTTCTACAAGAGTTTATTGTGAGAAGATCAGAAGTGTTGTATTCTGCATTTAAGGGCTATGTCACATTAGCTGTCCAGTCCCTTCTGGCAACTTTCTTAGAAGCAGGTATGGTTAAATAAAATGCTCAAAATGCTTCTATGGTGTCCCTTCCCCAGCCAAAACGCTGGAGAATCACACTGGCCAGCAGGGAGCAGCAAAGGAATGACAACTTAACATCCTTGCACTCGACTGAGTGGTGCTCATATAGTGACAGTATAGTGCGCCCAGCCTTTTGTGATGACATGTTCGCTAGGAGAGGTGTGTAAATAACAGACTGGGCTCACAGGAAATGGACACTGTCATTCTGCCCTAAAGAGGACCTCTGCCACTGGACCAAGGAGAAAGTTGGCCACAGTGCTGGAGCATGGACAGGGGAAGTGGTCATTGTTTTTTCTATAACACAGGAAAAATTCTTCCTGCTGTCCCACATTAGGTAAAGTTAGTTAATGATGATTGTAGGCTCTGGGAATTCGTTGCAAAAGGTCACCTATAATCTAAGGGCCCATTAACAACGTTCCGCTTTGTGGCATTGTGATAACAAGCATTTGGATGAGCATTAAGGTGCATAGCATTAAAGCACCCTGTTCTTTGGAATAGGCTGTCAACACACCAGCCTGTGTTTGATATTGTTATGTTTTGTTGGGAGCTGGAAGACCACGTGTTTATCAGCATGAGTTTAGGCAGCTGACCCTAGTGACAACTAGACCTCAAGCTGACCTCTGACCACAGACTCTCATCTTCCTCTGACAAAGTAAGTGAAGTTAAATAAGGTGATGAAAAAAAATCTTGCATAGATAAGCCTACACACGTGTAATAATTAAAGATAAGATGTTCAGATTCTGGCACAAGTCCATTTGTAACTGGTTCACTAAATCAAAACTAGAGTTACATTATAAGCAATTCTCACAGGTTTGCCTTTTGTTCCTGGCTCTCCCTTGGCTCCTGGAAGTCCCATGATGCCTTCATTACCACGTTTTCCAGGCACCCCAACTTCTCCGGGTAATCCCCTTTCTCCCTAGAACATACCAATAAATAGTTATAATGAGTTAATCCATTTCAGGGCAGAGTTTCAGAGACACTCCAGGACAACTAAACAAATGTGATTAGGATACAGTTGAAGTAGAAAAATTAAAAGTATCATGTATTTGCATTCAAATGTAGAATTAACAATACAAGTCCGTCTTGGCTGGTGTATAATAATCAGACCAGTTAAAAGAAAATGATTATTCTTTTAATATATTGTTATTATATAGCGCAGTAAGAAATTCTATATACATCTGGAGTAAAGAAAGCTTCTTAAGCCTCATTGACACAAGGTTTTAAGGTCTAGCTGTGGATGGATTCTTGCAACACAAATCACAGGTAGCTGTGGCCACTCAACCTGTACAAAGCAATGACAGGTTGACAGTGGCCGCAACTGTCCGCCGGTGTTCAGGTGTAACTGTGGTTCAAGAGAGACGTTAAGGTGCCCATACACTGTGCGATTATCCCACGGGAAATCCCGCGATCGTACGATAATCGCAAAGTGTATGGCAGGCGTGCGACCGCTTTTACTGTACGCTCACATGTCTTTTGTCTAAGGAGCATGTTCGAAAACCAGCCAAAAATCTTACGATTTTCGGCTGGTTTGTGGCATGCTCGGGAGACAAATGCCGAACGGACTGGTGTGTGCACGCGCACGTTCAGCATTGCGGTCATCGGAAGCCCGCCCCTCACCGGGGCGGGCTTGCGATGATCGCAAGTACGATCTGCCTGTCCAAAATGGGCAGATGGTACGTTTTTTTTAATTACTTTACAACCATCGCAAGACTAAGGTCATGCGATGGTTGGAAAGTGTATGGCCACCTTTATTGTCCGTTGTGATCATCCAAACACAGGTGGTCAGCTGTGGCTGCTGTTAGCCTATCATTGTGCATGCTGAGCTGTCCAGAACCACTTGTGATTCCTGTGGCTTACTGCAGGAATCCACAGCTGGGTCCGGAAGCTTCAAGAAACCTCAATGGAGATGAAACAAACATGTTGCCTTGTTGTGCTTTAAGTTTGATTCTGTGTAAGGCACTAAAAAAAGGCACCGATATCATACAAGTACATTCCCGCGCCACCATCATTCAGAATATTGAAGCCAGCTAACTGAGATAAGGAAATTCAGATTTGTTACAGGTTGCTGCATTTTGCACATTAGTCAATAAATAAGCCCACTGTGCCTTTCAGTTATGGTTTCTGTGCTTGCAAAGGACCACCAATATTTGTGTTAAAACCAGACCACCCTGACATATAGACCTGAAAATAGATACTGATGTTTAGCAGATCACACTACAAAAACAAAACAAAAGCTCCGAATCATACGATGGTATGGAGCATCTGTGACATCCATGAGACCAATACGCATGAGACCATCCCATTGCAGACATCCTGGTAAGAACGTACGTTGAAGTCAACATTGGTCATGTGTCACACGCCTGACTGTGTGAACTGCAAGAGGAACCCGTTACCTGACTAGTGTGCAGAATGTGACAGTTATAAATAAACCAATATAGAGGCCTGTCATATGACTGTAGGAAGAGGCTGATTACCAGACGGGAATAGACAGGTCTTTCTGGTATCCTGGAGTGACCCAGCTAGCCAGCATGTCTGAGTCTCTCAGCTATGAGTAAATTATACAGAGTTGCCCCATGGGCTGGCAACACCACTTATGTACTGCTCTATAAATGGGACATTCAGCAACTATAACTATATAGTCTCTCTTTATGAGACATCTGGGGGTCTAATAGACAAGCAGGCCATTACACATTTTCTGGGAGAGCTTTGCTGCTTCCCTTGCTATCTGCAGGTTGTTTTTTTAGTATTCCGACAGCCGCTGGCGTAAAAGAAAACAAAAAAAACCCAGCATAGAAATGAATAGCTAGATTGCTATTGGCTATTTCAATTTGCAATAGCCAATAGCAAGCTGGCAATTGCACCCGCCCTCTGTTGCTGTCAATCAGCAGAAGAGGACTTGATGCAGAACTTCAGGTCCACCGCTGCTGATTGACAGCAGCAGTGGGCAGGTGCAATAGCTAGTCTGCTATTGGCTATTGCAAATTGAAATAGCCAATAGCCACCCAACTATTCATTCCTATGCTGTTTTTTATTCTCTGACTGATGGCAGCCGGGCCCTTACCTGACAGATATTGTCCCATCAGATTGTAACACATGTGGTCAGGTTTACTCGCTGTTAAAGTAGTTGGAAACCCTTACTGGATGACATTTAGTTTCCTAAGGCTTTATGTATCAAACAATTGCCATGTTTTTTTCATCCTTTGTTACATCTCAGTGAAGTTTATCTCCTCCAGTCACTACCTGTCTAAATGCACTCTAGTGGTGGCTGCAGGTCATTTGTTAGGCTGGTTTCCTGAGAGTTACAGCAGAACAACATACTGAGTGCTGGCAGTCCGCTTAAAGGAGAATTATGAGGTGAGTGCTTTTCACTCAGCCTCATGATCTGAGCCGACCTGTGACAATGAAACTATCACAAGACGGCTCAGTAGATCGGGAAGTGAGCGAACACATACCGGCGCTCGCTCACTTCTCGATCCTGTAACTGCAGAGAGCCGTGACCGGGGAGTGTCTGGATTCTCCCCTCCCCCTGTCCAATCCTCCGGCGCTGACTGGCAGAAGGGACGGGGGAGGGGCGGGTACAGCTGGCTCTGCCTCTTGATAGGCAGAGCCAGCTGTCACTCACGCAGCTGGGCGGATCCAGACATAATTGTCGGGATCCGTTTCAGCTGCGTCTCAGTATACTGCGGGCTTTTCCCCATAGTTCTCCGAAGGGTAACGGGAGGACACAAATTAGCGTCCTCCCGTCACCCTAGGCTCAGTATACCGCAAGCTGTAGCTCGCGGTATACTGAGACGCCGCAGTATACCGCGAGCTGCTGCTCGTGGTATACTGAGACGCTGCAGCTGAAGCGGATCCCGGCATAATTGTCTAGAGGCAGAGCCAGCTGTACCTGCCCCCGTCCGTTCCGCCAGTCAGTGCTGGTGGATTGGAGCGGGGAGGGGGGAATCCAGCCCCTCCCCTGTCACGGGAGAGAGCCGCAACAGGATCGAGAGGTGAGCGAACGCCAGTATGTGTTCGCTCACCTCCCGATCTACTGAGCCGACCTGTGACAGTCTCATTGTCATAGGTCGGCTAGAACTATGAGGTGAGTGAAAAGCACTCACCTCATAGTTCTCCTTTAAAGATTGCACTGGGTGACAATGCAGGAGAGCAACTGGGAGGCAAGGATAGCACATAACAGGAAGTGCCTGAACAAAAACCTACAGGAATTTAGAACAATGGCTTTAAAAAAACTGGTAATGTAATTTTAAAAGTAATTTTTAACTTAAACATTGGATGGAGATTGTAATGTGTAAACCCCATCCATTTCATCTTATATAATCTCATTTCTATTTACAAAAATAATGTAACTTGAGGGCCTACTTAAATGATGCAATCAATTTAAATCCAATCAAGCAGGTCCTTGCACTACATAATTGTTGGTAAATCTAAAAGGAGATTGTACAATCAGGCTGGTGAATGGTATACATACATTGCTAAATCAAACTTTTATTTGGCAATAACTGCCATTAAGTCAAGGTGAGGTCGGTGCACTTACCCACATATTGTAGCTATTATAATAATGTGCCAATTACAACCTGAACTTTATTCCTGCTATCTTAATGGATGAGTTAGGTCATATGCAAAGGTGACATCGCACTTCACATAGGTGTATATTGCACAATGACAGGTTTACTTTGCCAAGTCTAGGATGAAGGCAGGAACTTCCTATGGGCAGGTAGTATTTCTGATGACTGATAGGTATAATCAGCAAAAAAAATACAAACTTTATTTTTTTTCCTCTAAAGCTCAACTCAAGTTTTCTAAAAAAGAAAAAAAAAAAAGAAAAAAAAAAACTGCCCAGCATGTTAAAAAAAAAAGAAAAATAATTAGGGATGCTTCGATACCACTTTTTTAAGACCAAGTACGAGTACCGATATTTTTTTTCAAGTACTCGCCAATACCAATTACCGATACTTTTTCTTAAAGGGACAGGTCACATTTTTTCTAAAGCAATACAAAACCACCAGGTCAGTTTCTTAATATTATGAAGAACATGAACATGAAATGAATATTTATCATGCCATTGCTAACTAAGGCTTTTATCCCCATAGTGGGGAAAATAGATGAGCACATGTCCAGTATTAGTACTGCAGCACATGCGGTGCTGCAGTACTAATAGAAAACGATTTTGTTTCTGCCTGGAGATCCGAACCATTTAAATTACCCTTTATCCATAATTACTTGTCAACCAGATCCGTAACCAAAATGAACCATATATAATGAACCACCATAACCAAAATGAACCAAAATGAACCATATATATTCTCCGTCTGCTTCAGCCACTCCGTGTCACAGCCTAGTCATCTGCTCCATTCTGACCTCTTCTCCCGCTGATCGCGGCCATCTTGTTTCATTGAAGACGCTATGGAGGTCCTGTGTGTGGCGGTTTCGGGTCCTTGAAGATGGCGGACGCGGCACAGGTACTTGTTTTTTGTTTTTTGTATCGGAGTATTTGCACGAGTACGAGTACTCATGCAAATACTCTGTATCACCGCCGATACCGATGCTTGTATCGGTATCGGAGCATCCCTAAAAATTATCTTTGGCTGCAACACTCACCTCCTTTCTGGAGCAGCCCCCTGCAGACTCACCACTCCGAAGTCTCTCGTCTACCAGGGAAGACATCCAACATCATTCAGCCGACTTTCTGTAAGTTCAGGCCGTCATGGACCTGTCCTCTGGGGGTATGTCATCATGCAGCTTAGACTCACAGTACTGCTGCACAGAATAGCACCAACACATAAATATGAGAGTCCCATTCTGTGCAGGAGGAAGAACATGCAATTGTCAATATCAAAGAAGAGGAAGGACCCATTATACCACTTGAATTGCCAAAAGGCAGCAGGATTTAAGGTATATATAAAGCCAACTTAAAAAAAAAAATACATGCGGTGGAGGGAGGTGAGTTACCCCAACATCTGCAAATTTGCTTTAAAAACAATTAAAAATTCCAAATAGATTTTAACGTTATGGTGTCATTTATTGAATACAGCAAAGATATTATACATGCAGTGCAGCTGCATGCTGTGACGGGATTGTAGAAGTTTTGTTGGTTAGAAAGCCTCATAAGATGCAGGAAACAGAAGAATATTTTGTATTTTCATATGCATCCAGCAGGGAGAACTTTCAGCTCCTGTTTACTTCTTCCAAGTTCTCCTTAGTGGCACTATCAAAGAAATCCTGTTGTTTACAGAGCACAGTAGCTTAAGCTGAAATTTACACATAGAACTGAATAAGCCAGAGCAGTGACTCCTCCCCTTCCCCTACCCCTCTATGTCTGACTCTTCAGATGCTCTCTATGAAGTGCCAATCAGAGAGAGAAGCCCTAAAGCAAACGGCAGGCATTTTAACATTGATTATGGTTGAATTGCTTTGGCACCCAAAGTAATCAAAATGTTACCAGAATATAGACAAATGATTTCACCCCTATGGCTAGCTATGGTAGACAGTGTACATGGAAGAAGCAGAGCTGTGCTAATCTAATAGTCAGGAGGTTGAGGCACAGCTGGATCATGTTATAGAGGGAAAAAACAAGTAAACCAATACAAAATCCCATTAAAACATATAAATTATACCCGGACTACATGGCAACAATACACCAATGCATAAAAGGTGAAATACAATCAGTCATTTATCTAGGTCCAAAGAAGTCATTCCCAAGTCCTAAACAGCTGTAGCCAGAAGAGGGTCCCGCAGAGAAAACACTGCAGTCAGGATGAGACAGCTGCAAGGGCTTCACAATATGGAAGTGTTTATGTCTACTACAAGGGGGGGGGGGTAGCCTAGATCCAAGCTGTAAAATGTGTCTGTGAGGGATTGAATGCACTTTCCAACAGCAATTGAATCAAATGCAATCCCATTGAAGCAGGATTTCCTATGTATAGCAGACAATATCCACTAGAGGGCAGCAGATACAAAGGTAGTGACAGCCAACAATTTATTTAGGATTATTTTGGTATTCTGTAATACTCAAGTATTGGGATAACTCTAATGACTCTCTGGCTCTCTTTAGGTCATGTGCTTAGTTAAGACTGGGCAAAATGCAGCCTAAAACCTCAGAGGAGTGTATAATGGATGTTTAACGTTTAACATGAGTCAGACATTGGCTCCACCTGGACTACCAGGGTAGACATAATACTTAAGTTTATACTGTACTGAACTGAACCCATCCTGTCTAGGGTAAAGTGGGAAAATCATGGCAAATAACACAAGACTGGACTCAGGAAAACTGCAATCTGAGCAATGCTCTACAATGCATAACATTACCTGAACAAAGCAGGTGTCCATGAGCGTTATCATACTTATAAAATAGTCCACAGTGAAATTCACCATATCTTTTTACCGGCCAAACAAACTGAGAGACATTATACGATCATATACACTAAACACACATTATGAGACCCTCAGTTATGCCTCTATACATCCTCCAAGATTTTCAATTAATTAACATGGTAGAGTGACTGTATATGATTAGCATGTTTGCCTTCCTGTGCTGGGGTCTTGGTTCAATTCCTTTCAGTGATATTATCCATATGACGTTTGTATCTTCTCTCATGTTTATATAAGCTTCATCCAGTTGTTCTGGTTACAAAAAGGAAAACTGTACTAAGTATGGGGGTTGCCATTACCTCCATCTGTAATTACTGGTTCCCTAACTGTCACTTTGGTCCCTTCAGTACTTCGGTACTTTCTATATTACTTACCTGAAACAATTATGCACATTAGGTATGCTCAAAATAATCCCTAAACATGTACCTAGCTCCCCTCTCCCTCCAAAACATTGTCCTTGCACTTACCTCTCCTAAACTTTTGAAATATCCAGACACTTTATGATCTCAAGGAAACTTGCCTTGACCCTTCTTTCCACCTGCACATTCCTATTGGCCTGTGGGGTTGGATCATAATGATGGGCCGATAGGAATGTGTGAGGGCTCAGCAGCAAGCTCTATCGCTACCCAGAGGAATGTTTGCACTTTGTCTGTCAGATCAGCGCAGCATTCAGCCATGACAGGTTTGCAAGGCTGCTGCAGATAGGGGTGTCTGCATTTCACACCTAAAGCAGTTTGTCCCAAGGGGGTGGGGGGCATAGTCTCTTCAAATTTTCTAACCCCTAAAACAATGAATTCCTAAGCCTAACACCTACACTGTATTGCCAAAAGTATTGGGACACCTCCAAATCATTGGATTCAGGTGTTCCAATCACCTCCATGGCCACAGGTGTATGCAATCAGGCACCTCGGCATGCAGACGCTTCTACAAACATTTGTGAAAGAATGGGTCGCTCTCAGGAGCTCTGTGAATTCAAGCTTCATCCCGTGATAGGTTGCCACCTGAGCAATATGTCCATCCGTGAGATTTCCTTGCTACTAAATATTCCACGGTCACCTGTTAGTGGTATTATAACAAAGTGGAAGCAACTGGGAACAACAGCAACTCAGCCACGAAGTGGTAGGCCACGTAAAATGACAGAGCGGGGTCAGCGCATCCTGAAGCGCACACTGCGCAGAAGTCGACAACTGTCTGCAGAGTCAATAGCTACAGAGCGCCAAACATTGTGTGGTCTTCAGATTGGCACAACAACAGTGTTTAGAGAGCTTCATGGAATGGGTTTCCATGGCCGGCAGCTGCATCCAAGTTCTCTGAAGTGACAAATCAGGCTTCTCGGTCTGGCAATCCGATGGACGTGTCTGGGTTTGGCGGTTGCCAGTAGAATGGTACTTGCCTGACTGCATTGTGCCAAGTGTAAAGTTTGGTGGAGGGGGGGATTATGGTGTGGGGTTGTTTTTCAGGGGTTGGGCATGGCCCCTTAGTTCCAGTGAAGGGAACTCTTAAGACATCAGCATACCAAGACATTTTTGACAATTTCATGCTCCCAACTTTGTGGGAACAGTTTGGGGATTGCCCCTTCCTGTTCCAACATGACTGCGCACCAGGTCCATAAAGACATGGATGAGTGAGTTTGGAGTGCAGGAACTTGACTTGCCTGCACAGAGTCCTGATCTTAACCCAATTGAACACCTTTGGGATGAATTAGAGCGGATACTATGAGCCAGGCCTTCTCGTCCTCCAACATCAGTACCTGACCTCACAAATGCGCTTCTGGAAGAATGGTCAAACATTGCCATAGACACACTCCTAAACCTTGTGGACGCCTTCCCAGAAGAGTTGAAGCTGTTATAGCTGCAAAGGGTGGGCCAACTCAATATTGAACCCTACAGGCTAAGACTGGGATGCCATTAAAGTTCATGTGCATGTAAAGGCAGGCGCCCCAATACTTTTGGCAATATAGTGTATCTCACAAAGTTGGTAAGCAGTGCTGAGATCCCAGTGCCAGAAGAAACTACCTCATTCCAGTAGATATTTATTAGCCTCATGAAACGTTATAATCTCCAAACTCCATCAAGTTATTGAATTTTTAGATGTGGAATCTTTCACTCTTTAGTCCTTTTCAATGTCCAGCCAAAATTTGACATAAACATGAAGGATATATGGCTAATTGTCCCAGTGCAAACTTGGCACCCTTACCCTGAGTCCTATGGGTCCCTGAGCCCCGTGTAAACCAGGCACCCCAGTGTTTCCTCGCTTTCCAGACATGCCATCAGAGCCAATTTCCCCATCATCTCCTTGTTCTCCCTGGAAAAGAGAACATTTATTTTAGGTTAAATACAAAATATCTTATGACCAATGTTCTTGGTGTTTATAGCTGGGACCTTTACACACTTACCTGCATCCCCATGCTGCCATCTTTTCCTGGTATTCCATCTGGTCCAGGAGGACCCTCTTGGCCTTGTCTTCCTACCACTCCTCTAGGACCAGTGACTCCTGCAGCTCCCTAAAAATAAAGTCAATCGATGTTAACATTCTATCTTCTCCACCCACCACTAGATTTATAAAACAAACCTGTGCTTTCCCTATAGTGAGCACAGCAACAGGTTCACTTTAATAGTGGTCCCACAAGTAGAACACACTCACTTTGTCTCCAATCCACTGCCTTTCCATTTGGCTGCCAGGAGTGAAGAGAATTACCTGGTCCTCTGTATTGCAGAGCACTGACTCGCTCCCCTCGCTCCAATATGACAATGCTGGCGCTTGCCCAGTAGCCACTCAGGCACCCAGTGCTGTTACAAAGGGTTGAGGAGAAAGTCATAATTTGCAAGGGTCTAACCCTCCCTTGATCCCAGAGGCTGAGGAGAACAGTGATGGCGCTAAAGTAAGGTAAGCATGCCCAACTTAGCAGTCCACCAATAAAGAGAAACGTGAATTAGCAAAGCACATGTTTAGTTGTTGGAGAAATTCTTCCTTTACACCCCATAAAAAGGGAAAAAAATTACAAATGCTGTCTATACACTCATAGGCACACATATGTAAGTTTATTTTAAATCTGTTTACTTTCATCTGTTTCTTTTTGGATTCCGAAGAGAAGCAGGACATACCAAAATGAAATGTGAACAAAAAAAGAGGAAATAAAAGTCATTAGGTGAGAAAAAGAAGGCTGTATAGGAAATATATTACAGGTAGAGAATCCCAAATTATGAACTTTACAAGCCATTTTTTCAGGATAGAAGTGGGTAAGGGTTAGAAGACCATGGCAAATTTTGTTTAATTCTGTGAGTCCGTTAGGAAGATTTACCTTTAACTCTGCTCTCTATGACACAAGGTCATAACATTTGGTGGAATGGGTGTCACCGAAAGACAGCACTTTATTAAAGGAGAATATTCTTATTGCTCCAGTTACCTGATCTCATGCCTATGATCACCCAAGAAGTCAGAGATAATTTCTCCAACAGGGACTGAGGCAAAAAAGAAAATAAAAGTCACTGTAAAACACCAATCATATCTGACACTATTGTTCCCCATGTGACAGTGTTCAGGCCTGGCCATTAGCCACTCAGGAACTGAACAATGCATTGGGGGAAGGATATGGGGGGTGTTTGCAGAAAGTGGATATCATATTATAACAAACATCTACCAACTGTCTCTGTACAGTTAAATAATATATACTGCACAAAGTGTGTGTGTGTGTGTATACACACATATACATACATACACACACACACACACACACACACACACACACAGTATATCTTCTGAACGTTCAATTGATTTCAAATCTTTATCATTTTAATCCCTCATATTATTTCTTATACAGGACACAAAAGTTTAATTACATGTAAATTGGGGGAAAAAGCAAATGTGCAATTGTGAAGACGGGTGAAGCTCGGCTTTTAGTTGGGGATTACAGTTGCTAGCAATATATTGTTCTAACACAGCATCCATGAGTGAATTGAAATTATATAAAATAAAAGAGGTATCATCTCACTTTGTTGAATAGAATTCCCCTTTATTATCAACACATTTTAATTAGATATGTTTACAGATTCTAAAATCCAATTTAGTGGTAATTTAAAGGAGTCCTACATCCTAACTGGATAGCATTTAATTTTCTCTGGGCACTGTGTAAGCCATAAACACTTGCTATGTTTTTTTCTTTCATAAAATATTGTTTTGACAATTTTTTCATGCTTTTTACAGTTAAGTGCTCTTGATCTTCTGCAGACTCTTTCAGCCACTTCCTATCAACCTGCACTTGTTTCAGCCTTGGCTGCACATCATTGTTCTGGACCAGCTTCTTGATGGTGACAATGGTGGACCATGCCTGTGCAATGTGTGTCCTCCTCCAGATGTGCATATGATAGGGTGACAACAAAGGAGCGCAGTTGAGAGACAGGGACACTGCGCTGTCACACCACAACAGGAAGTGACTGAACAAGGACCCTCATGGCAATCCAATGATTTGGAGGGGTGTCCCAATACTTTTGGCAATATAGTGTGTTTTTATATATATATATATAAAAAACAATTTGAGAACTTGGCAAGTAGGTTGTTCTAAACATCTACAAAAAATTAACCACAGTTCTGCGGATTTAGGATGTCCCACTTGCTTCTGTCTCCAAGTAATTGCAGGCAGACTCAATGATGTTGAGATCAGGTCTCTGTGGGGGCAATTCCATTTTTTCCAGGACTCCTTGTTGTTCTTTTCACTGAAGATAGTTCTTAGAATTTTGGATGTATTTTTTGGGTCATTGTCCTGCTGCAGAATGAATTTTGGACCAATCTGTCAACTATCTGTATGATAAATATGTGCTTGTACTATTTAGCATTACCCAAATGTAGAAATGCAGCCCCAAACCTATATGGAGCCTCCGTTATTCATTACTGTTGCCTGCAGACATTTATCCCTGTATAGCTCTTCAGGCCTTCGGCGAACAAACTTTTGTTGCAGACAAACATAGCAAAGTTTAAAGTCATCAGTCCAGAACACCTGCTACCGCTTTTTTGCACACTGGTTTTTGGGAACAGCAAGCTGATTGGCCTTGTTCCATGTCAGAGATATGGCTTTTCTGCCACAAGTCTTCCAAGAACACCACTCCTGACCAAACCTCTACAGACTGTAAAGGGTGTACCGAAGTCCCACTGGTTTCTGCAAAGTCTGAGCTGATGGCACCACTGGAAATCTTCTGAAATGGAAGTAAGGTCAGCATGATGATTCTTACAGAAAATTAAAGTTTCCTTGGCTGACCACTGCGTTTTCAGAGCTCAATGTTGCCTATTTCTTTGTGCATCTGCAGAAGAGCTTTAGCAGCACATCTGCAAACTCCTGTTTTCCTTGAAATTTCTACCTGTGATGCAGTAAGAATACCCTGGGTTGTTGCTGTTCACAGTCTTGCCATTGTGTAAGATTTTTTTTTACAATAAAACTGTTCAACAAACTCAAGTTGTTACAAGTTGTTAGTAGGGCATGGCTTTTACTCACCCAGTTAATTCCTCCAACACAGCTGACTGTATGGTATGTGGATTGCATTTTAACATACACAATATTTGTGATCTTGTTGGTATATGTGTTTAATCATGCATTGGACCATATGTGTGGAAGTGTTTCTGGACGAATTAATGTGGCTTTTAAAGGCAAAGGGTGGTCAGATCACATATTGATTTAATCTAAATTCTGTTTTATTAATGCACTCCGTAGTTTAATCGATAACAACTATTCATTGTATTATTTTTGAAAAAAATTCTAATTTTACATAATTTTTTTCACAAGTGCCTCAGCTTGGCTGAGAGGCAGAGCATGTGAACATCAAATTGTTGACAACGCTAAACTTACCAGCGGCCCTCGAGCTCCGGTTTCCCCTGGTTTTCCTTGCTTGCCCTTCATTCCCTATGAAACAACAAAGAGAAATCAACTGAAATCTAGATCAACTGAAATCTAGATTAATTTCACATTTGGTTAAAATCTACATTCTGTTCCCTTATACAGTGAGTGACCAGGACACCCAGTTCCTGATGTCAGCAGTGGGCTCTTTGTAAAATTATAAATCCATGCAGTTAGTCTTTAGCCACCGGCTTACAATCCAGTCTTCTCACATGTGGAATCATCTCACTGCATGATTTGTTGCTCTGCTTTCTTTGTTCATTGTCACCTGTACTGTCAATGATATTAACTCTTCAGGTACTATAAAAAGGCAGTCAGGCTGATGGATGGAAACTGGAGAAAAGAAAATGAGCAAAAGTTTGGAGCTGTAGCCCTTGGCAACCAATCAGAATTCTTGTTTATTTTTCAATAAAGGAAAAGGGAAACCTGATTGGTTGCCATTACCAATTGTCTACACATTTTCTTTTCTCCAGTTTTAATACATTTACCTCAAAATCTCATTTGGTGTTAGAATATTTTGTTTCAATAAAAACAGTAAAATACAGTTACTTGTATTCAAAAAGGCTGTTTTGGCAATCTCTCCACTCATTTGTGCCCATATTTCAGGAAAAGTAATTCAAATCCAGCTAAATCTGTTCTGTCCTAGATTCTAAAAACTGACAAACAACTTTCCATCCAATTTTACCAAATTTTCACCAACAATTAAAAAAAAAAAATGTGTTACTGCACCACCATAACCTTCTGTGTCAGACTTTGTAAAACCTTGCAAAACTGGAGAAACATCTGATAAAAGTTCACTGCGAAATTAAAGTAATTACTTTCATGAATTTAAAAACAGGTCTCGACGTCTGGCCAATCCATTCATAGTTACATAGTTACATAGTATTTGAGGTTGAATAAAGACATTAGTCCATCAAGTCCAACCTATTAGGATCTCATTCTAGGAGTACCCGTACCCCTGTATATTACCTGTACCCCTGTATATTACGGTCCCTTAAGAAATCGTCCAAAAGTTTCTTGAACAATTCCACATTCTTTGCTGAAATCACTGTCTGTGGCAGTGAGTTCCAGACCCTAACTGATCTTACTGTGAAGAACCCCCTTCGCCCCTTGTGCTGGAATTTTTTTTCCACCAATTTTAGGTGGTGGCCTCTAGTTTTTGTAATGGAGTTAATTTTAAACAGTTTATCGCTAATGTTGCTACCACCATTGAACATTTTGTACATGGAGATCATATCCCCCCTTAATCTCCTCACCTCCAATGTGAACATGTTTAAATTTAGTAGCCTTGTCTCGTAGCTCTGGTCCTCCATACCCCTAATTAGTTTGGTTGCCCTCCGCTGGACTTTTTCCAACTCAAGGACATCTTTTCTTAGTACTGGTGACCAGAACTGGACCGCGTACTCCAGATGAGGTCGAACCAATGATCTATAAAGTGGCAAAATTATAGACTTGTCCCTGCAATACATCCCCTTTTTAATACAGGACAAGACCCTGCTAGCTTTGTTTACAGCAGCCTGGCACTGCAAACTACCTTTCAGTTTGTGGTCTACAATGACCCCCAAATCCTTCTCCATTTCTGACTTCCCTAGCGGCATACCCATAATTGTATAACCCATTTGTTTATTTTTAATTCCAAAGTGCATTACTTTGCATTTATCGACATTAAACCTCATCTGCCACATTAATGCCCACTCCCCTATTTTATCCAGGTCCTCCTGTAATGTTATAATGTCTAAGTCCGTGTCTATTACCCTCCCAATTTTGGTGTCATCCGCAAACACGGAAATATCGCTGTTAACACCCTCCCCGATGTCATTAATAAATAAGTTGAACAATATGGGACCCAGCACAGAACCCTGAGGCACACCGCTCATTACACTAGCCCAGTCTGAAAAGGTGCCATTTACAGATACCCTCTGGACACGTTCCCGTAGCCAGTTCTCTATCCACGTACACACCACCTCATCTATGCCCATAGCCCTCAGCTTGTGTAGCAAGCGTTTGTGTGGTACCGTATCAAAAGCCTTTGAGAAATCCAGATATACCACATCTACCGGCTTACCTCCGTCCATATCTCTACTCACCCCCTCATAAAAAGTTACAACAGGAAAAACTTCAGGGCCATAGCCAAGAGTGATGAAGCCCTCTATCAAAACTATTACATCTCTCTAATGTGCTTAGTGGGAAGAAAGTGCAGTTCCATTCATTTTCATGAATCAGAAATGTGACGGAAGGAGGAAAGCTTGGTCACATGACCTGTCAAAGGCATGTTATTTTTTTTTCCCAACTTACATTTTATTAAATATTCCTAAACATATAAATATGGAGAAAACAACCATATGGAGAAAACAATTCTCAATTATAGACAATATACGAGGACAATAGAAAAAAAAGATCATCAACAAGGGAATGGTAACTTCTAAATGCAAGAATGAGGATAACCCACTTAAAGCAGCTACAGTACCAAAGGGAACAATCAGAACTCCGTTCCCCCCATTACTCTCTGTATCTGGAAAAAGCTTGTTAAAATACCATCGGGACAAAGTTTCATACAAGGCATGAAAAAAATCACCCCTCAGACAATGAATGTAGGTTTATAACACTGGGGTGCTCCAACAGAGCACTGAAAATAGAAGAAGGGATGAAGAAAGCACAGGGAAGGAAGAGAGCAGAAAGACGGAAGGGACGGCATTGGCGTTCCTTAACTACAAAGAATGTAACAAAAAATGCAAACTAGAAATCCGGGCAGCTAAAACTGAGTGCGAAAAGCATATCGCCGCAGATAGTAAAAAGAAATACAGAAAAAGTAGTAGAGAGAGAGCGAAAGAGAGAGAGAAAAAAAAGAGGGGGAGGGTGGGAGGTCTCAAAAGAGGGGAAAAAAGATCAGGAAGGGGTAGTCAAAATGAAAGGATGAGAGACACCAACTTATCACTGGAACACAGGTCTCCCCCGGGGGCATTCACAGACATCCTCTCACAGCATCCTATATTCACTACCCTGGCCAATTCACAAAACGCAGGGCCCGAGTTCAATTATGAACCATCAAAGGACCTGATTTGAGGCTTGCATACAAGTCACCACTTGTGAAAAGCCTCCAAGGTGCCAACATCTTTGAGAATTTGTTAAGTGTATCCTGCTTGGTTAAGAGAAGTTCCTTCATCTCACATATGTAAGCTACATGGTTCAGCCATTCCAGTACTGTAGTCAAAGTCCTGTTATTGACTTGCCCTCCCATCATGGAATTTTCTTTGCAGTGTTATGCAGAGACCATCCTGTAGGACACAGCAGCCTCCATACTGAATTTTGTTACTGACTGGCAACATGCATGAACAGTGTGGAGAAAACACTGTGGTGTCCAGTGGAGAGTGGATAGTGATATACGCTCTTTCATTTAAATAGGACCCTAACTGTTTTCACATCTATCTATAGAGGTTCCCAAATATGCATTAATTATATCAAAACGCCACAGTCAAATGCCTTTGCTACCTGCATAAATAACTGTGTAGTCAGATACTATTCTTCTGGGCCGCATAGCAGTTGCATGGTCTGCCACAGCTATACTTACACTGCTTTGGATGAACCGAGAATTCTGCTCTTAAAGTGGCACAATACAGGGCACATATTTCACTCATAAAACTCACCACTACCTGGCTAACAGTTAAGAGCTAAGATTCTCTCCATAATAACACTGGAAAATGCGGTAGGATAATCCAGTGGATGCCATAATCTCTTCACAAAGACAAGGAAAAGATAGCTAGCTGCTAGCGAATTGCAAGTCTGGAATGCAGGTTGGGTGAAGATGCAGTTAAGGGACCATTGCTAGTCTCCTTTTGAACATGCTGGTTAACTGGCTGACATAGCAGGTCACTGACATAGAACAAGCTTATAGATAGGAACTTCTGACTTGTTCTGGCTTATTGCCTCAGATAGTTTTGAAACCAGAGGGTCAGCATAACAGTCAGGTAAATGCACACCAAATGCAGAGCAGATCCGGTCAGGTTTCTGCACACGCACGCTAGTCTTTTAGATACGATTTTGCCACTTTTTTTGCCGCGTTTTTGATGCTTTCAGTGCTCTTTTTGGTAAAAAAAAATTTTAAAGTTTAAAATGGGCTTTCAGTGCGTTCCAGGCATTTGCATGGGTTTTTGATGCGTTCCAGGGCAGATCCAGAGCAAGTAAAATAGGGCTTGCTGCAGATTTTTCACCTGCTCTGGATCTGCTCTGCAACTGCACGCTGCGATGTGAACTGGAGCAAAAAATACCATTGGAATACATTGGACGCAGTTTTGATCCGGTCTGCAACTGATCTGCTCTGCACCTGCTCCGCGCTTGGTGTGAACAAGGCCTAAGAAAGAAGTCAGTAATAGTAGCCATATTTCTCTCATGACATGTTTACTTTCAAGCAAACCTGTCACAAACCTGGCTCCATGTGACAGCCCTTAGGCCTTGCTGTTCAGAAGCCAAACACTGAATTTTGAAAACACAGGGGGAATGTCACAGGTTTCCACATACCCAGAATTTATTTCCTGGGCTCTGGCACCAGGAAGGTAAGTAAAGTAAGTACAGGCATCCTATGGCGTCTTCTGTGTTGCTAACCTGTCACTTATCTAGTATGGACAAAGTACAATTTTACTTTAAAATAAGCCTGTCAGTAGTATAATCTAACTACGTAGCATTGCCACTGCAATATACAAACAGTGCTGAGGCACACAATACTAGAGAGTAGGTCTTAAATATTTTGTGACACTTGCAAAGTGCACTAAAACCGTATTCAAACACCATTTATCCTCTATATGTCTCCTCTACTGCACCATAACTACTAATAAGGGAAAGTGAAGTGTGAATTTCTCAAAATCATAAAGTTATAAACGCAGTACTGTATTGCTGTTCCATACTTTACTGCTGGTGATAGCACTATAAAAATGTATACAATATATAGGAAAGGAACAATAACTGTATTGCTCTTAACAACCAGTCAGTGTGTTCCTTTAACCTTCTAACCAGGTCTAAATAGGTTGGACTTGATGGACTAATGTTTTTATTCAACCTCAAATACTATGTAAAAAAAACAGCCCTATATACAACAGAATAAGCTGATACTAGAGGCAACACTGGCAGACCCTTTTCATACATAATATAAGTCCGCATTCTGTAAGCCGACTAAGTGAGGTTTTGTTGCCATTACCCTGCAAAGCTTACCACAGAGAGCCTTTCACAAACCACAATCCCAGAAAATACTCTAAAGAGTAATGTAGAGGAATTATCACACACAACATTACACATCATTGTGCCTGTGTATACACAGTATATAGCTGTGCCCGTACTGACAATCTCTTGCTCCTTCCTATATACTTCTCATGCCATAATTCACTAAGATCTTCTTTGCATAACAGAGAAGTGTGAGTGTAACTGGATGTAGCAATTGGTGTCGGGGGCTAGGCAGATATTAACTTCTCCCCAGTTAATATTTTGTATTAGTAGAGTGGTAAAATGTTCAGTTACACTGAGTGTTCCAGACAGAGGGGTGCTGGCAGAAGAACCTCCTAAAAAAATGTGGGCAACCTCTCCATTCAGTGCTTATTTATTTGGTTCACTAATTTACTCCCGCAGCAAAGTAAGGGGTAGAAACATTAAGGGGAAGTAGTTGTCAAGGGGAAGGGGACTCAGTTCAGTACATCTTTAAACAAGATTTTTCTTAACCAGACATGTGCCTAAAGACTACCATTTCCAGTGTGAAGAAAATCAGCAGAACATACCACAGCGCCTTTGGATCCTTTTAAGCCCTGAAAACCTGCTGATCCAGCATGCCCCTGCAAGAAGAAACATTTAAATACCACTTGGAATTAAAAAAAATAAATACAGATATTAAAGTAAAAGACATTTGATATAAAGCACCCTTATTTTTAATCATCACCCCATATTAAACCATATACCAAATACACAGTGTCCCATTCTTCTGCAACTTAAAATGTAAGTGTAAATTGGGTGAAAAATGCACCACATGCACCCTGCCTCCCTACTAGCCCTTTAATGTGATAGGTGGCTTTACTGAACAACTGGGGGGCTGGGAGGGGTGGGGTCAATGAAATATCAAGATTTACATATAACTTTAGCTTTCTGTATTGGTGAATCTACTGATCGTGGTTTTCATTAATGGCGACCTCAGATTATGGATAATTGGCCAAAATGACAGTGTCTCTTTAAAGGAGAATGTACAGAAATAGTGTAATAAGATTGTAACTTGTATGGTCAACTTAGATTTACCAAAACCGTGGAAAGTAAAGGCCAACCGAATCAATCCATGAAGTATGGAACTATTCAGACAGGCCCCCAAAATATACAATTGTTGGTACAGCTAAAAGGAATTGTCCAGTCAGTCAGTAATGTGAATGGTGAGGTTTATAAGCCAGTAGTGACAGTTTCTTACCGGTAAACCTTGTTGCCCTGGTTTTCCTCTGGGGCCCTCAGGTCCTTCTTGGCCCTGCATTTAATTAAAAATAAGGTTATTGATCATATTAGGCCTTAAAGCTCTTCAACATTTAGAATAATGCAGAACAATATTGGTGTCTGTCTTTGGCATATTTATAAAAATAGTGCACCTTACATAGCCATCCAACGTGGCCCTCAACATGAAATGCTTAAAGTGTTACCCCAGCCAAAACTTAAACATGGAAGGGTTAGATCAGGGTCTCAGGTCTCATTGAGAAGATTTCCCTTTTCTTCCTGTCCCTGTGACAAAGTTGTCAGTTGGATAAGTAATACGAGTAAAACTCTAAGGACACAGCAAGCAATAAAAAAACTGATTGAGTTTCTAGCCTTCCCCTACTTTGCAAAAATAAAACAAATGTCTTTTTATTGCTGCCCGTGTCTTTTTTGGAGACTTTTCCTAACCTCCTGTCCCGGCAACATGACAGGAAAGTAAGGAAATCTCCCCAATGGGGCCAAAGAGAGTAGTAAAACCTGGCAGGAATTCTAACCCTTCCTCACTCTACCCAAACTGTCTTCATAACAGGAAGTGAGAGGAGATTTCCTCAATGGAACACAAAATAATAAAACTGATGGGGTTCTAACCCTTCTCTATTCTACCCAGAAATAACTAAAACTAACTTAAATATACATTATCTGCTGCCATCAGTTTATAGCAAGAAAATGTGACAATGAGGAATGAGACACAATGTCCCTTCAGTTTTCTGATAACACGAATGTATTTCGAATAGAACTACCTTGGAAATATCTGCATGGGACAGTAACTGTGAGCAAAACCTTATACTGTTAATCTACTTCTAACTTGTTTGTGCAAATACACAAAATTAATTGTAAAAAAAAAGGCATTAAAAGCCCAAAGAAACCATTTGTGTGATCATCTTTAATCCAAAGATTAATTACATTGCTAGTATTACATCATAATGTACAATGAATATTTTATGTGTATAATACACTGTATAACTGATTTAGTAACATCTGATTAATGACACTTAATCATGGTGATTAGATTGTGGAAGTGGAACAGGGTTGATTCACAAACCTTTACACCCTCCATCATGTTCTTATATAATTAACATCAGCCTTGACACATTTCATGGTGTCAAGCTGAACTCCAGGCAAACAGCTAACTACATATACGCAAGCTGTTTTACTTGCCCAAGGATTTATACTGCTGTCCATCCAGTTATGTGATTTCCACAGTTCTGTCACACAGCAGTCCATTCTGACCACTGCTGTAATTCAGTAACACCTACAGGTCTTGTCCCTTCCACAGCATGTGATTCATGCTTTGCATATGTGCAGCCCTAACTTCATTGACTTCAATAAAAAAATGTGAACAGGTTAATGGGGATGGGCTTTTCATTGCAGTGAATGGAGTTCAGACTCTGTATGTAGCACAGAGCTGTCCATACACCCAACATGTTTTTTCACTCACTACCATGAGGCTGCAAAAGAAAAAAAAACACTCGATTGCCCCATCTGTGGGGGATCTCCCGTGCCAGCTACTGTATTCCCACTGCAGGACTTGGCTAAAATTCAGGCAGTGCCTGACCACCATAAGACTAGAAAGATTCTGATGAGGGGCTGTGTGGTGCAGGGCAAAATGCACGGCAAAGATCTCCCTGGGGTTGGGGTTCAGGGTATGACCTATTATAAAAATCCTGGGAGAAGAACATTTCTACATAACATTTGTATCAAATAATCCTTTAAAAAGACTAGATTTAAGAATCGCATATCAAAAGCAACCTATTATGAAGTATATATAACTACAGAACAATACTAATAACATTTTGATCAGTAACCAATCCACGGTTTAAACTTACAGGATATCCAGGATCTCCCGACTCCCCTCTGTCTCCACGATCACCAACAGGACCCTTGATAAAGAGACAAAAATAGACTATGTAATGATTTGAGCATACCTGATCACCATTACATATTTTATGAATAATACTATAGTATCTCCAGCTGAGTTGGACTTAGATCCATCAACACCGAGCCTCATTATTCAGTGTACAAATGATTTTTCAGTCTTCCAATGTAAAAATTTGTTAACAGAGAACTATGGGGTAAGTGTTTTTCCCCATAGTTCTTTTTAGGGTCACAGGAGGACATATACTAACCTCCTCCCTTGACCCAAAGCTCAGTATATAGCGGGCTATTGCCCACGATAAACTGAGAGCGCCGCAGCCGGGACAGATCCTGATAATACTGTCGAGATCCACCCAGCTGCGTGAGTGACAGCGCGCTCTGCCTATCTAGAGGCAGAGCAAGCTGTGCCTGCCCCCTCCCCTTTTCGTTCCTCAACTCAGTGCTGGAGGATCGGAGAGGGAGGAATCCCCTGCGGGGATCAGTGACTGGCAGTCACTGCCCTCTGCAGGGAAGTGACCGGATCGGCTGCATGTTTCTGCTCACTTTCCAATCAATAGAGCCTGTGAAAGCTTCTTTGTCACAGGTCGGCTCTAACTAAGAGGATGAGTGGAAATCACTCACCTCATAGTTCTCCTTTAAGCTTTCTACAGATGTCCTGTAGGCCAGGTTGAACTTTCCTGGCCAATTACTATTGTTTTTCCCTGAGAGAGGTTGCCGTTGGTTAAGTGACTTCTAACAGCTAAAATTCAAACACAAATTTCAGTAAAATATGGGGAATGTATAAATGTTTCATAATATAACTTAACAGTTATAATACATGAAGACAGAATATTCAGATTCTTTTAACCCCTTCGTGACGGGAGACGTACAGTGTACGTCTTGTCACTTTGTGCCTATATGACTGGCCACGTAACCAAAGAAAGAAAAATATACTACTGGTGGTGGGGATGTTGGTGGGAGTAATTGGTGTGCTGTCTCCTTTAACAGGGAGAGGGGCCCTGTGCACAGAATAATTTTCCGTTTGTTTTAAAATCCCAAGTGTGACTCATTCTCTTAAAGCGTATCTAAAGACAAGACTTTTGAAAGTTTTGTATAAAGTAGGGAAGGGTTAGCAACCCACCAAATAACTGTTTAAATAGCTCCAAGGCTTCTATTGCTCAAAGAGCTGGACAGCTTCTGGAGCAAAATACAGACTGACCTCAATTTATTGAAAAAAAGTTGTTTTTCAATAAATTTCTATGGTCGGGCTGTTTCGCAAGCTGAGCAGCTCTTCAGCAGTTGATCCTCCACTAACCCTTAAAGTAATAAAAGGGTACCAGAAATTACTATTATGATATACCACAGTGGGCAATCATCTAACCAAATTCACAGCATTTGGTTGTGTGACTCATTCTCTTAAAGCGTATCTAAAGACAAGACTTTTGAAAGTTTTGTATAAAGTAGGGAAGGGTTAGCAACCCACCAAATAACTGTTTAAATAGCTCCAAGGCTTCTATTGCTCAAAGAGCTGGACAGCTTCTGGAGCAAAATACAGACTGACCTCAATTTATTGAAAAAAAGTTGTTTTTCAATAAATTTCTATGGTCGGGCTGTTTCGCAAGCTGAGCAGCTCTTCAGCAGTTGATCCTCCACTAACCCTTAAAGTAATAAAAGGGTACCAGAAATTACTATTATGATATACCACAGTGGGCAATCATCTAACCAAATTCACAGCATTTGGTCATGTGATCTCTTCTGGATTAAAGCATCAACCAGTAACCAGAACCTTCAAACTGAGCACGTGATCATAAATGCATACGCAGAGTTTACCTTCAGAGAAAGCCGCATATCAAAAGGATTAGCAGTTTTGAAGGATATAGGCAATTGAAGTTATATGCAAACCTTGACTTTTCCCTGTAAAAGGTGAAACCCCTACTCGTCACAGAAGATGCCCATCGAATTAAAGGACCCATGGAGGAACTCAGGAGAAGGTAGAGACTGGGACCAGACTACATTTTTACAGCAAATGTAAGAACTGATTATTATTTTAGCTGCCTTTACCTTTGGATCTACTAATCATTTTCACATGTGGATTTTATTTAAAGGTAAACTCTGATTACAGACATTTAATCCTATGCATGATTTCAATTGCCTAGGTTTGTGACAGGTTTACTTTAAAGAGAGTTGTCAGTTACAGTAAGTGCGTATAAATGAAAAAGGCAAAGAGAATTTCACTGACGGTAATTATAAATGTGGCCTTGTATGACAATAGTAATAAGTCTTACTCTATCTCCAGGGGGACCGGGTGCACCTTCCATTTTGCCATCCTCCCCCTGTTCTCCCTGCAAAGAACAATAGAATGTCATTATACACATATTACAATGTAATTCCCATGAAGAGCTGGCAGCATGTTGTAATTGGTAACACAGCTTCATCAAAACCTTCAGTCTCAGTCAAGGCTATCACTCTCTATGCCAGCTAGCTTTACTGTGCCCTTCCCTGCCCAACCCAGTACACACCAAGCAGTTTATGTTTCGGGAAGAGCCGTAAAGAGAAAGAAAGTTTAATTTCTGTTTAGGCTACATGAATGAGTGAGAAAAAAATAGAGCGATGGCAAGTGACAAGTAAAAATGCAGAGAAGAGGGGCCAGAAAGTAAACAAGCGAAGCTCCAAACTCACATGATGAGGAGAGAGAAAGACGGGTGTGTTGTACTTGGCTTAAGGCCCACACACAGACACATTCATATAGTAAGAAAGCGCATCTGGAGAGCTCTGAATGGAGACAACTGAGAAAATCGCATATATATATCCTCCAAACAACATGTGCCTATACAAACTTGACCGTGGCAATCATGTCATCAAAGAACTAGGAAAGCCATAGTATATAAACAGCAACATTTTTATAAAGTGGTTTCAAGGGCAATACGGTTGTATTTTCCATGGCAACTCTCAGACCCTTGACTCCTAAAACCCACACTCGGGTTCTGTTTAACCAATAATCATAAAAGCTGATCTGTGGTTTTCACTGGCATGAAAACAAATGGGCGGAGCAAGTGGTGACATCACCACTGGCTCTGCCGATCTTTTTACATTCGGGTCGGGACCTGTCAAATCGTTCATTCTGCGGTGGCAGTTTATCTGGAGCTGTAGGGTCCAGCTGGCTTTTTTTTTATTTTGACGATTTTGCATCGTCGTTCATAGTGATTGACCTTGGATTACATCACTGGATGACATGATTGATGTTGGGTTGCAGCGTTGGATCATTTTTTGGAGTTTTTTTTTTTTTAAATAAAGAAAAATGGTCAAAACCTGGCTTTTTTGTTCAATTAAAGGAATTTTCCAAAAGTCTGGTCTGTTTATTTACCTTTTTTTTAACCCTTTAGTGAATAAGTAGGGGTACAACTACCCCTTACCCATTTACAAGGGGGAGGGGCAGCATCTGGGTGCCCCTTATGAAAGGAGGTAACCAGATGCGCCCCCCCTGCATCCACCGGGCTAGGGTTGTGGGAAGAGGCCCTTGTCCCCATCGGCATGCGGGCATGTGGCCTGGTATGGTGCGGGAAGGGGAGGGGGGGCGCTTGCTGGACACTGCTTGGATTAAGGGTCTGGTTGGGAATTTCAGGGGGGGACTCCCTGTTTTTTTGTTTAATTTTGTGCTTTGGGATCCTCCCTAAAATTCCTACCAGACCTAAAAGGTTCTGTTATGCCTTTTGGGGGGAAACCCCCATTTATTTATTTTTCTTTACATTGGGGGTCCCTCCTAACATTCCTACCAGACCTAAATGGTCTGGTATGGTTTGGGAGGGGGACCCTATGCCTTTTTTCTTTTCCTTTTGTTTACATGAAATGTTTCATTCTGTTTGCTACCTGCACAGTAGCATTCGGCTACTCACTCTCTGCTGTTCGGCTCCTATGAGAATAGGGGCGAACAGCAGGGACTAAACTGCCAAACGTTCACCTCAACTGATCCAAATCTTGGATCGTCTGAAGTGAACGGATTCTTCCCTTCCGTTCAGCCGAACGTGCTGAGGCTGTTCGGCTGAACTGAAGGGAAGTGAGGGGAGCCAAAGCCAGCTAATGTACGGCTGCAAAATAGCCATACACAGCTGAAGTGAATAGCCAAACAGGCTTTGGCTCCCTTCACTTCGGCGGCTTAGTGAATAACCCCTTTTCTTATGTAGCAGCTACACATTTCAAAGTTGCTGGCGTGACACAACCCTAAGTTATTTTTTCTCTTTGCACCCTTGAATTACTGGGCATTAGCCAGTATTGTATGTCACTGATATATTTTTCAAACAGTCCTAGAGCAGGATACTAGATAAGTGGAAGATGGTGACTCAGTAAATCATGTTGTGCATTATATACTACACACTTCTCAACTCTACACTCTGCTATTAATTCTATTCTTCACCCTTCTCCGCTCTGTACCCTGTGTTGTACATTATATACTCCACACTGCTCTATTCTGTACACTGTGTTGTACATTATATACTCCACATTGCTCTAATCTGTACATTATGATACAAACTAACCCAGTGTGCATGGTATGCACACAACCATCACTTCTTTGTGCCAAAATTCCATACCAGACCCTTAATCCAAGCAGTGGCCTGGCAGAGCAGGAAGGGAGGAGACGAGTGAGCGGCTCCTCCCTCCCTGCACCATACCAGGCTACATGCCCTTGACATTGGGAGGGTGCTTTTCCAGGGGAGGACCTAGAAAAGCCCCCCCCCCCCATACCCCACAACCCTGGCCCAGTAGTAGTGGGGTCTGCGGGCATGGGGGTTTATCTGCATCTGGGTGCTCCTTTCATAAAGGGGGCACCCAGATGTCACCCCCCCCCCTTTTGAATGAGTAAGGAGTAGTTGTTACCCCTACACATTTACCAAATAGTAAACAAAACAGTAAATAAACTGGTATGATTTAGGGAGGAGACCCCGTGCTGGGTTTTTTTGGGGGTACGATAACATTTTTCATTCTGTTCGCTACCTCTGAGGTAGTGAACAGAATGACTGAAACAAATGAAGACCTGATTGTTTGGCAATTCACTCTCCGCTATTCGGCCCCTTGGAGAATAGGGGTGAACAGCAGGGCATGAACTTCTGAACGTTCGATCCAGATGTTGCATCAGCTGAGGCGAACAGGCTCTTCCCTTCGGTTTGGCCGCATGTGCTGAGGCTGTTTGGCCGAGCTGATGAGAGGTGAAATGAGTAAAATGCAGCCGATGTACGGGTAAGAATAGCCGCACATGGCTGCAGTAAATAGCCGAACAGGCTTTGGCTCACTTCACTTAGGGTCGGTTATTCATTCGGCTGCCTTGTGAATAACCCCCTTAGTGTTCCTCTTAAACTGACATGTGAGCAGCATTTCTAAAACATTGTGGCAACCAATGAGGTGTCAAATGTCCTTTCCTTTTTTTTTACCATTAAGATTATTTCAGAAATTTGGTTGAGACACTAACTTCTTATAAAACTCGCAGAGGGAGGATACATGAACAGATTTTCCTATAGACAGGAAGTACGAGGAGGGAAGCTCCATGAGGATAACCCTTGGCTACTGTAGTGAAACAGAGCAGGGAAACTTCAGACAAGTATTTGTTTGAGGGTAAACCCTCTTTAGTTATCTTGAGGGACATAAATCAAACATTTACATAAAACTGCCCCGCTGAGAGAAGACAACAGCTTTTTTTTAATAAATGATCTGACTTGCAGATATATTTTGTGGACAGCTCCAGGCAAGTCCTGCTGAGGGTACAGGGAATGTAAATAGTTTCCATTTTTCTCACAGTTTCTAGGTATAGGAGTTGCCCTTCTTTTTGCTGGATGATTGGTCTCAGAAACCATGAGAGCATAGCTTGGTCCAGCTGGACCCAACTTTGGAACAGTCACTCTGACACACAGCCAAGCTTGTGAGTCATATTCTAGTCTGAACTGGAAACAACACAGCTGAATCAGCACTGGATGTTAGGAAATGGATCACATTTGAGGGGTTCACTGCTCTCCTAAACCCTTATTCACCCCCAAATACCAAGTATTACAAAGAGTTGAAAGGACAATCTTAGAACCCCATGAATACTTGTATATACCACATTTAAAACTGAACTCTCTTACAACTCCAATGCATTGAACACATAAACCATTAAACTACATATATGGGAGCTGTTCTACCTGCTACGGGAATTGTATTTCAATCCACCCAACCCTGAGATTTACACAGACCTGCCAGAAAGCACATCCAGCCTGCTGACCTGCCTTTTCCCTACTGCATTTAAGCAATACAGCTTGGTCACCTCCATAACCCTGCCTGTGATTGACCAATGCATGAGGCCCCGTTCACACTTAGTAGTTTATCACGCGATTTCCGCTCCAAAAATCGCGCATATTTCCGCGCAATGTCGCTCAATGTAGCTTGTCCAATGTATTTCCATGGAACTGTTCACATCTCACAGCTCAATGTCGCCTGTAGCTCAAGCTTCTAGCTCGAACATGACCTATTTTTCTGCGGATGTCGCACGATTTGGCCCCAATAGACTCAATTGTGTTGCGCAATACTGGCGATATTGCACGACCTTGTTGCGCGATATCGCGCTACAGAAAGGTTACTTTTGCACCGCAATATGGAAGCAAAGAATTTTGTCACATCAAGACTGCTGTTGATTGGTTACAGCCCAATGTAGCAGTGACTAAGTCCCTCCCAAAAGTCTCGCTACGTAGCACGACAAAATGTGCACTATCGCTCAATATAGCTCAATGCCGCTTAATCGCACGGAATCGCAAGGAAAAACGTGTGATTCTTCATGTCGCTCAGTGTGAATGGGGTCTGAGTAACAACAGACATATGAGATCTTTTCTGTGCTCTCTCCTCCTTGTCAGTATGTTTCTTGTTAGCACAGGTTGCATCAGGATGCCTAATAGGTCCAATGTGCTGCCCATCCCTCTCCATGTCTGCGTACTGCTGCACAGGGGATTACAAAAGGTTGAAACCAAGTCAAACTGAGGTATTTACACAAGTTGCATTTTCAAACCAATTTCAGGAATTTTTAATAAATACATAGCAAGATTTATTAGTGTTTTAGTCATAAATTTGTCATAGGTTATTAAAACAAAAGGTTTTAATAACCTATGACAAAAGATTGTTTATATCTTTGAGTAAAAATCTTTCAAGAGAAAGTGATAACGTTTGTATACTTGCTAATTGAAAATATTACCAGTACATATAACAGAGGCTTCCTGTTCATTCATGACTGAGTTGATCGTAAATATTTACTATCTCCAGATTGTGAATAAACAACCTCTGTACTGAGAGCTTCCTGTTCATTGAGTACTGGGGCTGCAGAAGGAGATTTAGAGATTGTGTCAGCAATTTATTTTTCTATTTTAAAAGGGAAATATCAGGGTTCTGTTTCGACCCCAAAGCTTCTAACAGTAAAGTAAAAGAAAAAAAGTTTAAAAGTTTGGAAAAAAAAAGACATTTTCAGTTTCGGCCTGACAATTTTTGCATCCCTAGTAAAAACGTATGCCATGCACATGGTTAAAGTTTCACCCTTTTTCTATGGAGAAAAGGGAAAGACTGGTGATTGCTCACATAGAAAGTTCAAAAACTCAAAGAAAAAAAATTATTTTGTTTAGAAGGTATTGGCGGTGTGGTCTATTTAACCTCTACAAGTCCCAAGTCAATCACACAAAGCTCAAATCTGTCACATCACATGCAATAATTGGGTCATGTATGGCAGCTTCCAGGGCACAAGAGAGAGAACGAGTGTGGGTGAGTGTCTGCTGCAGGAACAATGGGATTATAAAACAAGGAATCAATTAGGTTGTTCTACAAAGTCGGTAACCTAATGCACAATGTGCTGGTGAAGCTTACACAAGTAAAACAGACAATGGGAACACTCCTATTGAGTAATAAAGGTCGACATTCGTGGCGTTAGTTCCAGGGCAATGACCGTCTGTGTAGCCTAACCTGTGCCTACTCTGGACCATGACTGGATGATGATAACCTGCAGCACTTAAAGGGAACCTGTCAAACCTCCTATTAAGGTGAGCTATAAAGTGCATTTGCTGGGTCACTCGATCACTTATTATGCTGAAGTTTCTATTATTCAAATATGTTCCTCCAGACAGTCGCTGGACAAACTGCTTACTATGAAGCTTATTAGTAGAATGTGTATCTAACTATTACCAGGTTGGGCAATGCCCAGGTGATTAGAGCCACAGATAGGTTGCAATACAGTGATGAGAATAGACAGCTATACCCAGAGGAGACATTACTATCCCTGACATCATTAGTTCAGCACATTATATGAATTATAGGGGTGAGTCACTAATTCACTCCGTGCTTGTTGGATTCTCTCACAGTTCACTACAAGTCTGCTGACGAGTACTTTTCTGTACACCCCCACAGACATATTACATGGAGTGAGTCCGAGGTAACACAAAGCTCAGACACAGCATGGATGTTACAGGTTTACAGTTCATATGGCTGTGCGGAAAGATCTGGAAACTATCTGTTAAATATACTGTTAAGATTGGTTCAGACATTGCTTACTGCCTGCGTGACAAACGGATTGCTGGCCCCTATGATATATTCAGCCTCCTGTATACAATGTCAGGAAAGTAAAGTGTCTGGGCTGCATACGGAGATTAATAACTTTCCAGCTGTCAATTTTCTACACCAGGTTAGAAAATGGAGGCCGACAAAAATAGCTGCTACAACCCAGTCAGACAATGTTTCCTTTTTATTTATTTTTTATTTTACTTTAGGTACAACCTAAAGCCCAACTGCTGTCAAAACATTTTTAAGTTTTAAATAGAGTGGGAAAGAACATTTATGTTAAATGTAATCATATTGTTGAGATTTTCCCTTACTTCCTGTCACTGAACGCAGGAAGAAAAATGGGGGAGCTGTTGTCACTGGGACCGGAAATGCACAAGCGGCAATAAAAAGATTGCCACTAGCTCTAACCCTGTCTCACGCTACTAAAAATGTGTTTTTAAGAAAAATTTCATTTTGTCCGCTTCCCCAAAGAAAACATTTCAGTAACCGGGATTGTACAAACTGTATGGCATCAAAACCCATAGATAGAAAGAATGTAATTGGCACAGAAGGGATATGGATATCATTATCTGATTATTTTGTACAAGGCACAGAATTCTCTATGATTATATTATACATGGCGCAGAACTATCTATGACCATGTCATAAAAATGTGAGTAAACACATAGGTATGAAGGGTCCGTGTGTCCTTAGAAGTAATTTGTGGATATATGCAAACAATAGGTCAGTTTCAAATGCATTTTCATATCAAATCTTTATACGCTGCAACTCAATTTTAGGCTGACATACCTTTTCGCCTTTTACACCGGGAGGCCCGATGGGTCCTGTGGGGCCTGTGTGTCCCTGTTGTGAGACAGAAAACAGTTTCATATAAAGGACATCTGGATCATTCTAAATCATTATCCTTCTCTTTACATTTACCAGGCTGGCTTGAATGTCACATTTCATCTAAAACCAATAATAAACCATACCCCACGTCTCTCTTTGGTCACCAGACAAAAGGTTAATACAGGGGTAGGCAACCTTCACACTCCAGCTGAGGAGAAACTACAAGTCCCATGGGGCATTGCAAGACTCCGACAGCCACAGGCATGATTCCCAAAGGCATGATCAGATCTGTAGTTTAAGCACAGCTGGAGTGCCAAGATTCCCTACCCCTGGGTTAATATATACTAGGGGAGGCTAATTTGTACAAACTGGTAGAAGTTAAAGTGTTACTTATAAAAACAAATCAAATTGAAGCTGTTATATTCCACAGATGAAAAGAAGGAGAGTGGTTGCTATGGTGACTATTGGCACTTTTCTTTCTCCCAGTTACATGAGACCCACGTGCAGGAAAATTATCCTTTAGATCA